GCGCGATCCGCGCACTGCAGCCTCTACTCGGGTTCAGGCCATTCTCCTGCCTCCCAGACTCCCGAGCAGCTGGGTACAGGCGCCTGACCACGCCTGGCTAGTTTTGTGTATTTTTAGTAGAGACGGGGTTTCACCGTGTTAGCCAGGATGGTCTCGATCTCCTGACCTCGTGATCCGCCGCCCGCCTTGGCCCTCAAAGTGCTGGGATTACAGGCATGCCACAGCTCGGCCTTCCTTCTCTTTTTAAGCAAAGTCTGTTGAATGGCAGATCTGAGATGGGTGTATTTTTCCTTTTGATTTTTGTTCCCGCTCCTATCTTTTCAATTATTTTCAGATAAAGTCCTACTGACCCCTCATGGCCCTGTCATGGGTATCCTACCTGACCTCCGAGGCTCTGGGCTACTGCGGGAGAATGACCCTGTGGTATTTTTGAGGCTCGTTGAGTGCGGCCCCGTGTAGCTCTGGGCGCTCAATGCCCAGCGGCATCACCGGGAGCATTTCACGCTCCGGAATCATGACCTCCCCGGGGCCTCAGGCAGGGCAGGGAGAGAGTGCTTTGTCCTTCTTCTATTCAACACTGTGCCCCTGGTCTGAGGTAGGGAGCCTCCTGCACCCAGGTCCTACCAGGGCACGAGTCCTCACACTGAGCTCCTGGTGAGCAGCCTCCCCACTCCCGGGCGGGCTCCTGGCGCTCCACCTGACAGGTTCCCCCAACTCCCCCAGACGGGCTCTCCCACTCTCAGACAGGCTCCCCCACTCTCCCAGACAGGCTCCCCACTCTCCCAGACAGAGCTCCCAAACAGGCTCCCCCACTCTCCCCAGACAGGCTCCCGACAGGCTCCTCCCACTCTCCCGGGCTCCCCACTCTCCCAGACAGGCTCCCCCACTCCCCAGAGAGGCTCCCCACTCCCCAGACAGGTTCCCCACTCTCCCGGGCAGGCTCTTCCACTCTCCCAGACAGGCTCCCACTCCTGGGGCTGAGTTCCCCCACACTCCCCCAGACCAGGTTCCCCACTCTGGGTGGCTCCCCACTCTCCCAGACAGCCTCCCCCGCGGCTCCCCCCACTCCCCCAGACAGGTTCCCCCCACTCTCCCGGGCAGGCTCCCCCCACTCTCCCAGACAGCCTCCCCCGACTCCCTGGGCAGGCTCCCCGATTCCCCTCCGGGGCAGCCTCCCCCCGCCCCACTTCGGGGGGCCTCCTCCGTCCCGCAGCGTCCCCCCATTATGCCAGGCAGCCTCCCCCTACTCTTTGAGGCAGTCTCCCCCAATTCCCCCAGGCAGCCTGAAAAGCCCCCCAAACAGCAGCTCTGTTTGCCCCCACTTAGCAGGGCCGCCTGCGGGGCACCCCCAAACACTAAGAGGAAGTCCCTCCCGTGCCTCCCTTTGGAGGAGCCTTGGGGAACCTGGCCAGCCAGCCAGGAAGCGAGGCAGGCACAGTTCAGATCAGAGCTCAGAGGACCCAGGTCCTGAGTTCGGAGCGGAGAGGCGCCCACAGCAGCAGCACCAGGCGGCGCAGGCGGCGGCACCGCACGTCCGCGGCCGCCGGGTGGAACCAGTTACTGAGAGCAGCGCAGTGGCGCCTCACTCCACCCTGCTTGCTGCGCCGACTGCTTGAAATGCGGGTTTTATTATCAGGTGCAGTGAGACCCATAAATCAGGGGATGCTGCCGTTGAAAAGATGGTTACAGTTCCCAAGAGCAGGGGCAGCACCACACAGCGCGGGTCGGGGACACACTGGAGAGCCCTGGGGTCTGCTGGAGTCAGGGGGAGGAGAGAGTGAGCAAGAGCCTTTATTGGGGTTTCTGTGGGAAGAAACAGTCAAGGCAGGGTGAGCAGGTTTTGGACTGGCTGGTTTGAGTAATTTCAGGGCTCTGGGACAGAGGAGCTGTCCGGAGTTGTCTGGTACCTGGCCCTGGTATGATCAGGGCAGGGAAATATTGGCCCTGAGTGTGAGAGACAGAGGAGGTGGTGGGTTGTGGGCTCTGGGGTGGCCATTGGCATCTGAGAAGGAATCTCTAGTCCTGGGAGGGACAGCCTCTCTATGGTCAGCTAGGCCCCAGGACGTCAAAGCATCAGACACAGAAAATAAAAATGTTGCTGTGGGTAGCAGTAATTCATTTTTTATTACCACCCACCATTGCAGTATAAGGAGATAGCATATGCGGGTTATCTATTCTTCGTTTTGTTGTTGTTGTTGTTGACATTGGAGTAACCTCCAGCTTTGGCTTTTACCAATAAAGCTGCCAGGATTATTCTCGCACATATATTTGGTGGCCACACATGTTCACTACTCTTGGTATAGACCCTGGCATGCGCAGCTTTCATAGATATTACCTGAAGAGTTTTTCAAAGTGATTAAGTCAAATTTTAATGTTGTTGGCACCCTTAAGCCTTTCGGTCTGAAGACTCATGCCTGCCTTCTGTCATTTATTCAGCAAATCATTATTATTTTATTATTATTGGTAGTTTTTGAGACAGAGTTTTGCTCTTGTTGCCCAGGCTGGAGTGCAATGGCGCCATCTTGGCTCACTACAACCTCTGCCTCCCGGGTACAAGTGATTCTCCTGCCTCAGTCTCCTGAGTAGGTGGGATTACAGGTACCCAGCACCATGCCCAGCTAATTTTTTGTATTTTTAGTAGAGACAGGGTTTCACTGTGTTGGCCAGGCTGGTTTTGAACTCCTGGCCTCAAGCAATCCACCCACCTCGGTCTCCCAGTGTGCTAGGATTACAGGGATTAGCCACTGCGCCCGGTCCAGCAAATCATTATTAAGAGCAACTCCTTTGCCAGAAAATGTTCTAGGCATTGGTGATACCAGGGGTGATCCCCAGAAAACAGGGCATTCTAGAGGAGGCCCTATTATAATAGACAAGGACAGCTGGGCGCAGGGGCTCACACCTGGAATCCCAGCACTTTGGGAGGTCAAGGCAGGAAGAGTGCTTGAGCCAGGAGTTCCAGACCAGCCTGGGGAACATGGAGGCTCAAGCCATCCTCCCACATCGCGCCTGGGACTACAGGCACAAGCCACCACACCTGGCTAATTTTTGTATTTTTTGTGAAGACAGGGTTTTGCCATGTTGCCCAGGCTGGTCTCAAACCCTTGGGTTCAAGTTAATCTGCTCACCTCAGCTTCCAAAGTGTTGGGATTATAGGCATGAGCCACCTCGCCGGGCCACAAAACCCGGTCTCTACAAAAACAAAAACAAAACAAAACAAAAAAACCCCCAAAACCCCAAAAGAACAAAAATAAACTGGGTGTGGTGGGCGCACCTATAGTCCCAGCTACTCAGGAGGCTGAGGTAGGAGGATCACCCGAGCCCGGAAGGCAGAGGTTGCAGTGGGCTGAGACTGCACCACTGCACTTCAGCCTGGATGACAGAGTGAGATCCTATTTCAAAAAAGTAATAATAAAGTAAACAAGTAAATAAGTACATGCTATAATAATTTACTTCCGATAGGGATAACCCCTAATTACATATAATTATAGTTATAATTTCAGTAAGATGACTTCTATGAAGGAAACAAGACTGAGTGGGGACCAACGTTGCCTCTCCTCCATCCTTTCCTAGAATTCTGTCTGGCTATGAGGCCGCTTGGATCCTGAAACTGTCCTCATATCTCAATTCCTCCATGGGCTCCATTTCAATAGAGGGGTGTGGTTTTTATTTTTTCATTTTTATTTTATTTTTTTGAGACGGAGTTTGGCTCTTGTTGCCCAGGCTGGAGTGCAGTGGTGAAATCTCAGCTCACTGCAACCTCTGCCTCCCAGGTTCAAGCAATTCTCCTGCCTCAGCCTCCCGACTAGCTGGGATTACAGGCGTGCACCAACACGCCTGGCTAATTTTTCTATTTTCAGTAGAGACAGGGTTTCATCATGTTGGCCAGGCTGGTTTCGAAGTCCTGACTTCAGATGATCCACCTGCCTTGGCATTCCAAAGTGCTGGGATTACAGGCGTGAGCCACCTCATCCGGCTTGGGTGTGGTTTTTAAACAAGCACTTTTTAAATGTCTATCTCTAGTCTTGGGAGCACTGCTCCCAGTCCTCCATCGGGTCTGCTTTCCTCAACATCTGTTTGTCAGGATCTGCTCCTTCTTAGGTCCGTTGCCCCTTTCATGCTGTGTGTGCTGTCTCTGGGTCACGGGCTGTCTGACTCCTTGCTGGCTCCTGGGAGGTGTGGGAGGGGCAGTGTGGACCGTCTTCTGGCCTGTTTTCTGCAAACACAGGGCAGTGGAGGCCTTTCTGCAGGGGGCAGCCAACACTGTGGTGGAGGCTTTTGGGTGGAGGCCCACCCTGCTCCTGGCAAAGCACTCTGGCCGGGGATTTACAATCGGGGCCCTCTTGAGAGGTAACCAACACCCCACCCCTGCTGCTGCCTCGCCCAGGGGTAATGGGGGTGTGGAGGGAGGCCAAGGGGCCACTGAAGAGTAGCTGGTCATGGCAGCCTTCCTCTCAGTTTCCAGTCCACAAGAGTCCCTGCTTTCCAATGCTTTGTGTGTGTGCGTGTGTGTGTGTATACACTCCCAAACTTTATATTTAAAATAAACTGTATTTTGGCCGAGTGGGGTGGCTCATGCCTGTCATCCCAGCACTTTGGGAGGCCAAGGTGGGTGGATTCCTTAATTCCAGGAGTTCAAGACCAGCCTGGTGATCTGCCTGCCTCGACTTCCCAGAGTGCTGGGATTACAGGCGTGAGCCACTGCACCTGGCCTAATAAACTTTATTTTATTTTATTTTTTTATTTTTTATTTTTGAGATGCAGTCTTGCCCTGTCGCCCAGGCTGGAGTGCAATGGTGCAATCTCAGCTCACTGCAACCTCTGCCTCCTGGGTACAAGCAATTCTCCTGCCTCAGCCTCCTGACTAGCTGGGATTACAGGTGCCCGCCACCACGCCCAACTAATTTTTGTATTTTTAGTAGAGATGGGGTTTCACTATGTTGGCCAGGCTGGTCTTGAATTCCTGAGCTCAGGTGATCCACCCACCTCGGCCTCCCAAAGTGCTGGGATTACAGGTGTGAGCCACTGCGCCCAGCCATAAACTTTATTTTTAAGAACAACTTTATATTTACAGAAAAACTGTGATGATAGTTTAGAAAGTTCACCTATATGCCACACCCAGTGTCCTTTATTTTAATATGATAATAGGGTGCGTTTGTTGCCTTTGATGGACCAATGTTGATACACTATGATTAACGATGGTCCAGCTTTACTAGGCTTTCCTTAGTTTTACCTAATGTCCTTTTTCTGCTCCAGGATCCCATTCAAGACACCACATTACAAATGAAAATGTATTTTCTGTCATTTCTGGGACCAGGGACAGGTTGGGGAGGCAACACCGTGAAGCTGGGTTTCTGGCCCCCCAGGGACTTGGGGAGCGCTTGGCAAGGGCATCAGGTTTGATTTCATGCATCCTGAGTGTCTGTTCCACTCCCAGGTCTCCTTCAGTGTGTCCTCTGACTGGTCCCCTCTCTGGCATCGGTTTCCTCATCTGGAAAATGAGGGCCTGGGTGAGTTTCCTCTGGATAGGCGGTGGCCTGGGGCCGAGGGAACTGGCAGGCTTGGTGTTGTCCTGAGGGTGGAGCTGGGGCTCAGGGCGGTAGGTCTCACGGAGTTCAACACGGGCGAATGCTCTGATTTTGGAAGCTTTTTAACTCAAAGGTCAGGGGCCAGAGTCCTGCCCCAGCCTTGCTGTTAATTCCTCTGTGCCTCAGGCAAGGCGCTCCTCATCTCTGGGCCTCAGTCTCCTGATCTGTGATGGCTGGTGGGACGGCTTCTGAGGACCCTTCTGGCTGGGAACAGAGCAGGCTGCCCTGGGAGCAATGAGTCTTCTCCCAAGTGTGCAAACTAGGCCAGGGGGCCTGCTGGGTGTGGCAAGGGGTGTGCCATGATGGCACTGTGGGTCCTCCTGCTGGTGGAAAATACGGCCTCTGTGCCCACCTTTCCCATGGCTATTTCAGGGGATGGTGGCTGGCGGCTGCAGGACACCCATGCCCTCCTTCTTGGCCCATTCCAGACTGCCTTTGGCCCTGAGTTAAAGAAGACCTGCCAAGTGTACCAAACCCTGGGCCATGGACTTCCGCGGGATGCACAGAAGCGCGCCCTCACTATGTGCGAGCCTGTGGCAGCTCTGGCTGCTGTGTCAGTCAGCTCCCAGGCAGCTGCCAGCGGAGGCCAGGCTCTGGCCCACAGGCACAGCAGGTCCACCCTCCAAAGATCCAAGGGAGTGAGAGAAGGAACAGAGGCATCACTGAGAAGGTGAAGATGAGGGGCCCTGTGCCCTCACCCCCCAAAAACCAGACTTTCCATTTGAGAACATTCAGGTTCTTCCTTGTTTTGAAGCCTTTGCATCTGTTGTTCCCTCTACCATCAATGCCTTTCCCTTTTCTAGTTGTTTAACTCCTACCCACCCCTCAAGGCCCAATGCAAAAGTCCCTTCTACTGGATCCTAGCTGCTTCAGGGCCTACCTGTGTCATGGCACGTATCACCCTGAATCGTAACAGCCACTTCTGTACCTGTGTCCCCATCCAGACCTCAAGTTCCCTGAAGGCAGGAGTGGGTCTGACTCACCCTGTGAGGTTGCTGCATACGCATTATCTCTCCTTTGCATTATTGGTTAAACGGGCGGGTGGAGGAAGGGAGGATTGCTGCACGAACCTTTCCTAAGCTCCTGTTTACTGGCGCATCCCTTCCACGCCGATCCTCCGCAGTCCCTCTATCCTGCCAGCGGCTCCTCCGTGGGGCAGGGGCGGCGGGAGCCACAGGGGCGTGCCCGAGAGCGGGTCGGGGCTGCGGAGAGAACGGGGCCGGGGGAGGGTGGGGGGCGGAACCCGACGGCTGCCTGCGGGTGAGCGGGGCGCGCAGAGCCGGTGGGCGGCCGCGACGGCAGCAGTGGCCCCCGCGAATCGAGGGACCCAGGGACTCGCGCAGATCGTGCGCGGCCACCTTGGTCCTGCCGGGGAGCTTTATATCCAACCGAGACAGCTGAGGTTCCCAAAACCCCAGCGACCCGTCGGGGTCTGGAGGGCGCTGGGGCCCGGCCTCCCAGCCCAGCCAGAGGTGCCCCGCCCCAAGCCTGGCGCACCTGGCCCCGCCCCGCCGGGACCCCGCCCCTGCCCCCGCCCTGATCAGAGTCGATTCCGCGCCGCGGCTGCAGCGACAGGTGCAGCAGAGCCGAGCCGGCCGCGCTCCGAACGGCACCTCCCGCCCCACCATGGGCAACAGCGCGAGTCGCAGCGACTTCGAGTGGGTCTACACCGACCAGCCGCACACGCAGCGGCGCAAGGAGATACTGGGTGAGCGCGGCGTGGGGCTCCCGCCGGGTGGTGACCACCCCGTTGGCCTGTCTAGAGTCGCATCGGGGAGTCGAGCCCAGATGGGCCGCTCCAGCTCTGGCCCAAATGCCGGCGGGCGCTCCGCCATTGCTGCTCCCCTCCCCGGGGTCCCCGGCCGGCTCCCCGAGGGTCCCCCACCCTGGCCGGCTCTGAAACTCCCCGGGACCTGAGGATTCCCGGGTCCGTGCGCCAGGGAGCGCGTCTCAATTGCTCCTCGCGGGTCGCGGGACACGAGCCACTCCCGGGGCCGGGGCGCTGGGATGCTGGGACGCGAGGGCGCAGGAACGGCCCCGGGACGCGCTACGAGGCGCACGCGCTCCCTGGCGCGGAGGCAGCTTGCGCGCTGCGGCGCCTCCACCCGCAGTCACTGGGCGCCTGCTGCGCTCAGAGCCCCTGGGTCCCGCGGCCACGGGCCGCCCAGCCTGGAGTTCAGGGCGGATGATCGCCAGGAAGGGAGCAAACGCGAATGAGAGGCGCGCGTGTTTTTCTTTGAAAAAAAGCAAAGATTGTACTAAGGAATCCCTCTATTCTGGCATGTCGCTTATTACGTGGAGGCTGTTTTCCTTGTCGCCTCGTGTCCTCTGCGAGGAGGGCATCTTTACCCACTCAGAGTCACTCTCGTTCATGTCAGAGACCCCATCCAGCCCACAAGCAAGGTGGCCGCAGTGAGTCGTCCTTGGCCAGGGCTTACGGGGTCAAAGGGTCAGCGTCTGGAGAGTGGCTTTGGCCAGATGCCACCAAATCGCCGCAGGCTGAGACAGGCCCGCTCCCACGCGGGAGACACCCCTGCCTAAGTCAGCACCGCGCATTGGCACACCTTGTAATCTTCAATCAGATCGGGGAAACAATACTATTTCGTTGTGGCTTTAATTTGCACTTATTTGATGGTTTCACATTTTAATTGGGTGTTTTATTTTATTTATTTATTTATTTATTTATTTATGTATTTATTTATTTAGAGACAGAGTCTCCCGATCTTGGCTCACTACGACCTCCGCCTCCCAGGTTCAAGCGATTCTCCTGCCTTAGCCTCCCGAGTAGCCGGGATTACAGGTGTGTGTCACCACACCCAGCTAATTTTTGTATTTTTAGTAGAGATGGGGTTTCACCATGTTGGCCAGGCTGGTCTCGAACTCCTGACCTCAGGTGATCCACCTGCCTCTGCCTCCCAAAGTGTTGGGATTATAGGCATGAGCCACTGTGCCCAGCCAACTTTTTCTTTCTTCCTCTTTTTTTAATCTCATGGCAGCATACTGAGATACCATGACTTTTAAATGTTTGAAACCCAAGATATATTGGGTGGCTAGCCTGTGACTGCATCCCGAGGTAGCTGGGGCCTCGGGAGCTGGAAGCCTCTGTGTGGGTTTGTGACTGCTGTGGTCTCTTCTGGGAGGTGAGCTGCAGCCCAGCATCATGTGGTCCCAGCAGCGGTAGCTGCCTCCCCTATGCGGTGGAGCTCCTGGGGAGGGCCGGGAGGAACCTTGGGGGTCATCTGACCCTCCCTCCCTGCTCATGATGTGAACAGGGCAGGTGTCCTGGCTACTGCTCCTCAGCAGGTCTGAGGTGGGGCTGAGGTTGAAGCAGGGGCCTGGTTGGCCCTGTTTGCGTTTCTGTCCCCTCCCCTGGTTGTCCCCAGCTTCCCCTCACAGGACTCATTGGGTATCTGACCCCATGTGGAAAAGGCAAGAGGCACATGGCAGCCAGTGTCCTGGTCCCTAGGAACTCATATCCGTAGAATAGGAGCTGGGCCTACCCAGGGCCACCTGGAGGGACCCAGACACTCTGGGCTGTGGCCTCACTTTCCCAGTCTGCAAAACGGGCAGTCGTCCTACCAGGCAGAGTAGGTGTGAGGACGAGATGAGATCTCAGCTGGGAAGGTGCCCGGGATGGTACCTGGGCCTCCAGGACATGGGGAAGGAGCTCTCTCTAAAGAGGGAAGCCACAGGCCCTGGAACCAATCCAGGAGGCTTTCTGGAGTGGGCGACTAGGAAGGTTGAAAGACTTGGAAGAGGGAGAGGCACCTGGGGCCAGGGCTTGGGGATCACAAGTCCTCAGGGCCGGCTCTCCAGCTTGACCCACGCTCCTTTTCCTGCGTGGAGGAACCAGGGGCTTTCCACCTGTTGTTTCCACCTGTTGTTTTCAGCTAATACACTTAGAACGTGCCATTCCCTCCCTCCCTGGCACTGGCACAAGCTGTTTCCTGGGTGAATGTCCCTCCTTCCTGCTCTGCCAGGCTCTCTCTTGGTTAGCTTTGCTTGCTTAGTTCAGTCCCACCTCCTGCAGAAAGCCCTCCACTGCTCCCAGGCCTGGCCCAGCTGGATGGGGACCCCTCCTCTGGGTTCCCCTCCATGGCTACAAGCCCTCTGGGCTCTGGGCTCTTTGGGGGCACAGTGCAGGAGTTTGGATGTGGAGCTGAACTCCTGGCAAGGACCCTGACACCCACTCATGAGTCTGTAAACAGAGGAAGGAGTTGAGGCCTGGGCGAATTAAAAGGGGTTAATAAATCATACCTTCCTAATGGGGCTGTTGTGCAGATTAAATGAGGTGATACGTAAAGTGCTTATTCCCGGACTCGATGAGTATCAGCTGCGATAATAGTTAATGTCTCAGAGATAGACCTGGCAAGGCCTGTCGTTTCCCTAAGGGCAGGGAATACTCTGCTTCCTCCATGCCTGTGCTATTCCCAGTCCTTGGAGAAATGCTGTGTAACTGCCAGCATCTCTTTATAGAAGAGGCAGGAGTGAGGCTCCGAGAGGGGAGGCAACTTGCCCGGGAACACACGGGCCAGGCTGGTGCTCAGGCAGCCTCCTGCCCCACCCAGTTGGCTCCTGCAGCCTATGCCAAGCTCCTGGGTGCCCAGGGATGTTCAATAAAGATCGTAATCTCAGAGTCAGAATCCAGGAAGTCCTTGCAAAGAGCTGGCTCCAGGAGCTCTGTGGGTTGGGGCCAAAGTCCGTCTCCAGCTCCTGCCTGGGAGGGAGACATGCTCCCCAGGACATAACTTCCTAAGAAAGTGGGGTCTCCTAGGCCAGGGCTGAGGCTCCCTGGCCTGAAAGGGCAGGACCGGAGCCAGCAAAACTGGTCCCATCAGAGATCCAGCCAGGCGTGGCCGGTGGAGTAAAAGGCAAGCTCTGAGTTAGTTTGTTTTTTTTTGGAAATGAATAGCTTTGTAATTTTGTTTGTTTTTAAATTATGAAAGCACGGCACACATGGTAATACAAAAATTCAAATAAAGAAAAACAAGAGAGGAAAACCCGGAAGCGAGACTGCTGGCCGTTGCTAGATTATTTGCTTCAGAAAGGCCGGGACTGGGGCTCTGTCAGTGGTAACTGGTAAAATCCAGAATCAAACTGCCAGAGCCACAAGAGGAACTTGGGGCTCCATCTCCCAGCCACGGAGCTGCATGGCTGCAGGGCAGCCCCATCTCGGTAATGTACAGGGGCCTGGCTGCTCCCAGACCTTCAGTATATATTTGTCACTGAAAAGCAGGTTTAGTGAGTGGCCTGTGAGAAGGTGAGCACTTTCCACAATTGCCAGATCCAATTAGGTCCCAGGGTGCCTTCCACAATGGACAGGGTCAGGCTTGTCTCTTGGCACAAAACCTCAGGTGGCAGGGATGGAAGCTGTGGGCAGGTGGCTTCCTGGAGCATTAGGCCAGGGCTAGGGAGGAAGACGTTTAGGAGGGAGGGGATTAGGAGGACTTTGCTGCCTTTGTAAGGAGAGGCTTGTCCCAGGTTGGGTTACTCAGCCGTGGATGGGTGGGGGAAAGGCCACGTTGTATGGAAGCACTTCCTGCTGTGGCCACCAGGTGACATTGTCAACCCTGAGCAGCTTTGTGGTGGAACAGGGAGCTGGGAAGCAGGTGGTGGCAGAGGTGGAATGATGGAGTGATGACAGGCAGTGACAAGGGGCACCTCCCACGTGGCCAGTGAGTGACTGTCATGCAATGGCATTTGGCCTCCCTGGGAAGGTGGTAGAACAGGTCTCCCTAGATGTTGCCAGAGCCAGGGCTTGGGGGCTCAGAGGGGTCCAGTGTGGAGGTAGTAAGAGGCCCCTTAGCTTTTGGTAGCCCTGCTGGGGACAAGACAAAAGTGACTTTATTGCCAGCCAGTCAGGAGGGGCAGGGGTGGAGTGGCCTGAGACTGAAAGGAGGAGTCTGACATGGGGTGGGCCCTGTCTCTGCCACTCTTGGAGGCAAGGGCACAGCAGCCTCTCTGGCCTGGCCGTCTGTTTCTGATGCAGTCCCTCTGCTCAGTGGCTCAGTGGATTTGTCAGGACAATTTCTGGGCAAAAGCTGTAACTCATCAGAGTCGCACCAGGGTGATGCAACTGTCCTGTGGGTGCAGGGAGCTTTGGGCTGGCCTCCCTTCAGCAGGCCCTGCCTCCGACTCTGCCCTCTGGAATTTTATGAGTGAGCCTGCTAACTGATGTAAGTGTGCAGATCTGCTGGTGCCAGACATTTCACGCGTTGGCACCGGCTGCCCCTTCTTCCCCATGGGCCCCTAGGGAAGTCCCCATCTCCATGTGCTCATAGCCACAGAGGCTGTCAGAGCAGATGCCTTACAGATGGAGACTGAGGAGACAGGTCCAGAGAGGGACAGGGGCTTGCCCAAGGGCACACAGGAGTCTGATTGAGGCTGATCCATGATTTTTTTTTTTTTTTTTTTTTTGAGACGTTTTGTTGCCAGGCTGGAGTCCAGTGGTGGGATCTTGGCTCACCGCAACTTCTGCCTCTTGGGTTCAAGCAATTTTCCTGCCTCAGCCTCCTAAGTAGCTGGGACTACAGGCGCATGCCACCTTGTCCAGCTAATTTTTGTATTTTTAGTAGAGATGGGGTTTCGCCATGTTGGCCGTGCTGGTCTTGAACTCCTGACCTCAGGTGATCTGCCCGTCTTGGCCTCCCAAAGTGCTGGGATTACAGGTGTGAGCCACTGCGCCCAGCCCTGATCCAGGATTTTCTCTGGGTGCTTTGTGGCAGTGTAGCCAAGCACTGCATCACTGCTGATGGAGTCCGAGTCCATATCAGGGCCCTGCTCAGCATTGTGCAGGCCTGGAGTCAGGGGTCCTGAGTTCAGGTCTTGGCTCTGTCAGCCTAGCTGCACCTTCATGGGCCCTTCTTCGTACCTCCCTGGACCTCAGACCCTTCATTTCTGTGTCCTGCCTGGACAGGGTGACTTCTAGCAACAGCTGTCGTTCATGGCCACCTGCCCAGATGCCTCGTGCCTCACCTGGGGCCACTGCTGGAAACCATCTGTGTGGGTCTGTGTATCTTGGTTCCAGGTGGCTGTGCACGTCGGGCTCTGTGCTACCCCGTGGAGCAGAGAGCCCTCAAGGCACATGTGTCACCCAGCTACTCCTGCCATCCAGGCTGGAGGTCTGGGAGGGCAGAGTCACTCCTGAGATCAGCTGATTGCCCACAGCAGGACAGAGCTCCCCAGCTGGGCCAGGTTTGGGTGTCTAGCCAGGAATTGCAGGTCTGCAGTTCCTCGCGGGGCTGCCAGGGAGCTGTGTTTCTCTGTGTCCTTCTCTGCCTTGGGCTTTCCCCTCTCTTGTGACCCAGAGAAGATAGAGCCTAAGGCCATGGAACCCATTGACTCCCACTCCCCAGTCCCACCCATTCTCCCTGTCCCCCTTTCCTTGAGCCCCTAGAAGAGGCCCCGAATTTGTCAGTGTTCTCCAGAGAGACAGAACTGATAGAATCTATGTATCTGTGTATGTATGTGTGTATCTATCTCTCTCTCTCATCTATTATCTATTATCTATTATCTATCTATCTATCTATCTATCTATCTATCTATCTATCTATCTATCTATTTTTGCCATTACTGTCACCCAGGCTGGAGTGCAGTGGTGTAATCACGACTTACTGCAGCCCTGAACTCCTGGGCTCAAGCGATCTTCCCACCTCAGCCTCCCAAGTAACTGGGACCATAGGCACACACCACCACACCTGGCTAATTTTTAAACTTTTTGCATAATAAGGTCTTGCTGTATTGCCCAGGCTCATCCTGACTTCCTGGGCTCAAGCAAACCTCCTGCCTCAGCCTCCCAAAGTGCTGGGATTACAGTGTAAGCCAGCATGCCTGGATCTATCTATCTATCTATCTATCTATCTATCTATCTATCTATCTATCTGTCTGTCTGTCTGTCTGTCTGTCTGTCTGTCTGTCTACCTACCTATCATCTATCCATTCAAAGAGGGGATTTATTAGGGGAATTGCCTCATGTGATTCTGGAGGCTGTAAAGTCCCATGACAGACTGTCTGCAAGCTGGAGACCCAGGGGTGGCAGTAGGGGTAGCATGGTTCAGTCTGAGTCTGAGGGCCTCAGAACCAGGGAACTCGATGGTGGAACCCTCAGTATGGTATTGAAGGTCTGAAAGCAGATGGAGGGTAGGGGGTGCTGGTGTGGTTCCTGGGGTCCAAAGGCTGGAGTTTTGATATCCAAGGACTAGAGACGCATGTGTTACAGCTCCAAGAGAGGGAAGCAGGGGGAGAAGGAGAGAGGGATGGGAGGAGGGAGAGAGGGAGGGAAAGACAGGAAGGAGACCCTTGCCTCTGCCTTTTTGTTCTATCGGGGCCCCAGCTGATTGGATGGTGCTGGTCCACACTGTGGGCAGGCCTTCCCCACTCAGTCCACTTATGCTCTGCCAGTCTGGAAACACCTTGACAGACACACTCCATAGCTCTCAAGGAGTTCCTGAGTCCCCTTGGCACTCAGCTCTGGTGCCCCTTGCCTTCTCCATGACGCCCACCCTGGCATCTCCTTCCCGTCCTGCTGTCCTCTGGTGCCTTCCTGTTGCCCTCCCCACCCGATGCCCTCGACGGACCCATCCTCGCCACCTCATCTCACCCTCGCCTTGCCTCGGGCTGCACCGCAACGGCTCCTGCTGAGACGCCGTGACCTGGCTAAGTCCAGGGACGCCTGCCCTCTCTTCTTCTCCCTGAACCTCTGTGACCCCTAGCAGCTAACCACTTCCAAGCCCTGGCTTCAGTTACTACCCCATCCTGACTGCACCCAGGGTGACCTCAGCCACGGCCCTCTCCTGCACATCCAATCTGCACGGCGTGGTCGCGAGTGTTCCTGGCATGTCCCCACTCCCACTCCCCCAGGGACCTGGGTGCCCTGGAGCTGAAGATGGTAGATCTTTGCAATATTTGCGAAGAGCGTGGGTTGTTTTCTCCTGGCAAGGAGTTAGTCAACTGACCTTCTTGGGTGGGTGCAGAGTAGACCCATTCCTAAGACAAGGCTTCTGGGGGGCCCACTGGAGGCTGGGGTATTCAGTGAGGCCTCTCTGCCTCAGTGGGTTGGGACTCCCAGCCTATGCCACCTCTGGAACTCCTTGGGTGCAAAGCTCCAGAAGCTACTGTTTTCAGAACTGTCACGGGGCTCCTGCTCTAGCAAAGCTTCTCTGGGCCCCGGGCCTTTGGCAGGAGCCCCTGGACCAGCAGTGTGGGCGTCTCGGGCTCCCTGAGTGCCATTCTCTGCTCGTTCAGCTCCTTGGGGGTCCCTCAGTCCCGCGCTGCAGTCCAGCAGGTGCTTGCAGGCAGGTGAGGTGACCTGGGGCTCCCTGCATCTGTTTCCTCTTTGAGTCACGCCTGTGCTGCCCGTGCTCAGCTACCTCGTGCACTGCCCAGTTTTTAGTTACTTCCAGTTGGCGGCTCCCGGGCCTGTAAGCTTTGGGCCTGCTCTTGTTAAAACAAGCCAGGGCCAGGTCATTGCCCCAAGACCAACTCTTACTCTCAGAGCACCTTTAATGACAACAGTACCAGCTCATGCCTACTGAGCGCTGGCACCCCCAGGGCTCAGACTGTCGTGCTGGCCTCCCCACAGCCTGATGGACATAGAGGAACGGCATCCCCATTTCCCAGATGGGAAGACGTAGGCTGATGGGGCCTCTGCTGTTGGCCAGGTGCTGGCTGGGGATGGGCCCCTGAGGCTTGTTCAGACCTGCCTGCACTAGGCCTCCTGCCAGATGCGCCAAGTTAGAAACAGCCCAGAGTTCACGCCGAGGGGACTTAGGGGCATGCGTGTTGGATGGGCCAGCCCAGTGGCTGTTTCTGGGCTCCCAGCGGCTCTGGAGGCCCCAGCACACCCATGGGAGACAGGACCAGCCCATAACTGGGGCTGGGTGAGGGGCTGGCAGGGTGGGCACTGGTGTCCTTCTGTGTGCAGGTTTCTCCTCTCTCTGGTGGTCCAAAGTGGAGCCCCTGAAGGCAGGCTGGGGCTTGGAGGGCAGCTGAGTCCTAGGAGGTGCTGAGGAAAGCAGGAAGGGCACGGGGCTCCCTGAAGGTGGGCTGCACAGGGCGTGGGGAGGGACCCTGAGGCCGCACCACACAGGGAGAACTTAGTATCTCTGTTTTAGCAGATGGGGAAAGTGAGGCCCACTCTCCAAGGTCAGGGCTGCCAGGCTCTGTCATGGCTCTCGCTTCTGAAGGGTGCAGGAGTGGCTGATGCTTGTCTGCACCCCAGAGCTGGAGGCCTGGACTGGCCCTCCCCAGAGCTGCTTGCTTGTGGCTCACCTGGCACAGGTGTGGCCTGCCCCTCCCTCTTGCCCCAAGGCTTGGCCTCCTTCCAAGGGGAAGCAGCAGCTGGTTGCCTGTGGAACGGGGACTGGGAGCGGGGCCGGGGTTAGGGTGGGAGTGGGACTGGAGCTGGCCGGCCCCCAGGTAGGTTGGCTACTGCCCTGGGGGCAGGGGCGTCCCTGGGTAAGAGGGAGGCAGTGGGCAGTGGCGCCCTTGGACCTGCTGTCTCAGCCTACATCCAGGCACACAAAGGGGACTTCACATGCGACTCCTTAGCCCTGTGCCTGGGCCAGAGCCTTCCTGAGTGGGAGCTGCCAGTAGGTCCTCCTTGCTTTGCCTGATAGGAGACATTGCTTCCCTGCCCGGGACCACTTTGCTGCGGACGCTGGGCCCCGACCTCTGGGCTGAGGCCCCCAGTGTGCCTGAACTGAGGCATAGCCTCTGAATCGTCCCCGCTGGCCCGGACCTACTAGGTGGGAACAAGCTGGGATGAGGCCTGGCTCAGGGAGGAGCAGGGCCTGTCTGCCAGCATGTGCCTCTGCTGGAGTCCTGCCTTCTGAGTCTGGCGGGATGAGGCTCGGTCGGGGGAGTGGGGGCAGCAGGTCCTCGAGGGACAGGGCCTGTGTGCAGGGGCAAAGGGACCAGCGAGGTTTGCTGGCCACTCCTGCCTTCTCACCCCTCGGCCACTGCAGTGGAAGGAGCGTGAGGAGGAGGGTGGGTTGCAACCCCACTGAGCAGGGCCTCACACCTCCCTGTCTTCCTTGCAGCCAAGTACCCGGCCATCAAGGCCCTGATGCGGCCGGACCCGCGCCTCAAGTGGGCGGTGCTGGCGCTGGTGCTGATGCAGCTGCTGGCCTGCTGGCTGGTGCGCAGGCTGGCCTGGCGCTGGCTGCTCTTCTGGGCCTACGCCTTTGGAGGCTGCGTGAACCACTCGCTGACGCTGGCCATCCACGACATCTCACACAATGCGGCCTTTGGCACGGGCTGCGCGGCGCGCAACCGCTGGCTGGCCGTGTTTGCCAATTTGCCTGTGGGTGTGCCCTATGCCGCCTCCTTCAAGAAGTACCACGTGGACCACCACCGCTACCTGGGTGGTGACGGGCTGGACGTGGATGTGCCCACGCGTCTGGAGGGCTGGTTCTTCTGCACACCCGCCCGCAAGCTGCTCTGGCTGGTGCTGCAGCCCTTCTTCTACTCACTGCGGCCGCTCTGCGTCCACCCCAAGGCCGTGACCCGCATGGAGGTGCTCAACACGCTGGTGCAGCTGGCGGCCGATGTGGCCATCTTTGCCCTCTGGGGGCTCAAGCCCATGGTCTACCTGCTGGCCAGCTCCCTCCTGGGCCTGGGCCTGCACCCCATCTCGGGCCACTTTGTGGCCGAGCACTACATGTTCCTCAAGGGCCACGAGACCTACTCCTACTATGGGCCCCTCAACTGGATCACCTTCAACGTGGGCTACCACGTGGAGCACCACGACTTCCCCAGCATCCCGGGCTACAGCCTGCCCCTGGTATGTGGCTGGGGCGGCAGGGCTGTGGCAGGGCAGGACCGCACGGCCATCCGAGGAGGTGGAGGCCCTGGAAGGGCCTTGGGTCATACCCAGCAGCCTCTCCCTTTTTGTGCTGGTCATGGCATGGCCACTTGCACTTGTCCCCAGGGCAGGAGGAAAGGCCACACAACACAGGCGAGTCCTCTGCTGGAGGCTGAAGCACATTCAGGGAAGTAGGGTCTAAGGCATTTCACAGTTCAGGCTGCCTGAAGCTGCCATGATACTGACGGGGTGTCTTCCTTGAAGTGGGGCGCGTAGCAACACTGCATGGGGAGCACCACCCTTCCTATCTGCAGGCTCTTTCCCTGTCATTCCTTGTCATTGCCCTGTGACCCTCCAGGGGCCAGAGAGGACAGGGTGGGCCTCGCTCTTTGCAGCCCAAGGGGCTTGGCCAGAGCTGATGGGGAGTGGAAGTCGCAGGTATGGGCACCTCTGCCTCGGGAGACCGGGAGCTGGAGAATTTCTGAATGAGAAAGGAGGAAGGGGAAGCGGGAGGAGGAGCCGTCCCTCAGCCATTGCCAGCCTGCGCCTTGGTAGCCTCTGGCTGCCTGGAAAGAGCTGGAGTGACCTGCAGGCAAAGGGGGCAGGAGGAGGTGGCACTGGGGAGGTGTTCGAGCGCCTGAGTGCGCGCCTGTGTGCACCGGGGTGTGCCTGTGTCTGTGTGAGCATGTCTGCCCTGTGACGCTGTGTGGATGCCTGCCCACGTGTGCAGGCATTTGTATGTGTGCTTGAGCGTGCGCGCCCGTCTCTGTGTGTGTGGTTATGTGTGAGCGCTTACCTGGGTATGCGGGTGTTTGTGCACATGTCCCTGTATGTGTGTGTGCACCCTGGCTTGTGTGACTCTGGAATCCCTGAGACCGAATTCCAAGCCTGGGCCATGGCCTGTGCCCTCCATTCCGGCTGGCAGTACCAAGGTGGTGCTCTGCACCAGGGATCATCTCACTTGAACCTCACCACAGCCCAGGAAGCAGCTGCCTCCTCATCCATTGTCCCTGTTGTATACATAAGAAGGCAGAGGTGCAGGGAGAGAGGTGCCCGCCTCAGGAGGTGACGGGGCGGAGGGGAGAGGTGCCCGCCTCAGGAGGTGACGAGGAAGAGGGGAGAGGTGCCCGCCTCAGGAGGTGACAGGGTGCAGAGGGGAGAGGTTCCCATCTCAGGAGGTGGCAGAGCGAGAATCCGGACCCAAGTTGGCGTGAGTGCCTGCTGTTAGCCACGAGCCTTTACCTCTCCTGAGCAAAGTGAGAGGCTCTGGGTACCTGGTGCTGGCCCCGCCTCCTGTGGCCCTGCTGCTCTGGCTTTGCAGCCGGGCTCCTGGCGTCCTGAGAGCATCCTTAGGAGGTGACGGGGCGCAGAAGGGGCAGGAAGGGCATCCCTGTGGTGGAAGCTAGGCCAAGGCTGCATGCTGTTGAGCAATGGGGCGGCGTGGTGGTGGTGCAATTGCAGGTGCTGAAGCTGGGAGCACTTCCTGGAGGAGGCGGTGGGGGTGTGTGTGAACAAAGGCTGGAGGGGACGGCAGGTGCTCAAGAGGCCCTTGGAACATGACAAGCAGTGAGGCTGGCTGAGGCCGAGGTTGGCGGGTCACAGGGTTGAGATGCATGGGCGTGACACTGTGGCTTGGCAGGACTCAGGTAGGCACTCAGCACTGTGCAGGCACTGCGGGGAGAACCCCCAGGGGCCCACTACCCCAGCAGTGCGGTCTGCCAGATCAGAAGGTGGGGTGGGGCCAAGTGGAGTGGGGCACTGAATTCTGCAACTACCGCCTGGGGCAGGGCGCTCCGAGCCGAGCCCGTGGGTGCCTCTGCCATAGCGTCCTGGGCTCAGCTCAGGCCACCAGGCCCTCCAGCAGCCAGCACCAGCCTTCTGGGCACCCAGGGAGTGGTGGGTGGCAGGGAGGGCCAGAGGGTGGCCTTGTGTTTGGCTGAGCTGGACGTGGGCACCCCAGAGGCGACAATGTGTGTGCATTATGTACACCCGTGTGTGTGTGCACGCAAACATGTCTGTACATGAGTGTGTGTGTGCACGCCCGCCACGTGTGCTCGGGTGTCTGAGTGTGCTCACGGGTGCGGCCCGAGGAGAACCAGCCCCTCAGCCCCGCCCTCCTCTCTACAGGTGCGGAAGATGGCGCCCGAGTACTACGACCACCTGCCGCAGCACCACTCGTGGGTGAAGGTGCTCTGGGATTTTGTGTTTGAGGACTCCCTGGGGCCCTACGCCAGGGTGAAGCGGGTGTACAGGCTGGCAAAGGACGGCCTGTGAGCCCGGGCTGCCTCCTGGTGGCGGTCATCGTCCCCCACCGGCCCCTTGGCCTCACGCCCCAGCACTGAGGGGCTGCATTTCCTTCCTGTATCCTGGACTGCTGCCCTTGTCCCCGAGGAGTGTCCTGGGCAGCCACACCTGGCGACAGCAGTGTGGGCTTCAGGGCTCCACCTGCACGTGGAGTTGCCCTGGACCTTCAGTGTGGCTCTCCCTGTCTGGGCCTCACTGGGTGAGACCTGGCCCTGCCCCACCGTGACCTGCGTGCTCTGAGCCCACGGTCCCCACGGAGCTGACTTCTCTGGGGTGCCTGTGCCCTACATTAAACCCAGCGTTTGTTTCACAGCCCATGGATTGTGCTCTGAGGGGGTGGTCTGGGCTTCAACCTGGCCACAGGGAAGGGGGCGCTAGGCCACCCCAATGGGTGGAGCTTGAGGCCTGAGTGCCGCTTCCTCCAGGCCAGGCCCAGGTCCTGCCATGCACTCCTGGCTCTTTGTGGGATGGTGGCTGCTGCTAGGCGGTGCTCCCTGAGGGCCTGCCACTGTGGTGTGCACACACACTGAGGTGTGGACAGCAGAAAGCTCACTTTGGTCATCTATGTGGCCCAGAATCCCCTCCTAGCAGCCCGGGAACCCACTGCTCCCTTGCCTGGCTAAGCCCTGCAGAGGCTGGCTCCCCCATCCCCCTGAGCCCACACTACCTGCCTCGCCCACACCCCTCGGGCCTGCTCACCTTCTGCTCTCCCTATCCCCTCCTGCAGCGGGGAGCATCCCTGTGCCCAGAGAGGGTCTGTACCCCATACCAGCTCGGAAAAGGGGCTGGGGTGGGGTGGGTCCTGATGTTCCAGAGGTGGGCAGGCAGCAGGCGGGGTCCCTGGGTGAGGCCCTCTCTGCCAGAGAGGGATGGAGTGGGCCCAGCCCTGCAGCTCCCACCACAGCCCTGGGGAAAGGCGGCGTCAGCCTCCATGACTAAGGAAGGGAGACTGAAGCTATAGTCAGGGCTTGAAGGCCTCTCCATGAGTGGGATGCCAGGGGCTGTCCCTGCTGACCTGGGAGATACAGGCCTCCCTCTCTACCTGGGAGTGGCCCCACATGGTGCTGGGCTCCCGTGTCCCTGAGTGGGCAGCTTGCTGAGTGGTGCAGGGAAGGGGCCTGAGCCCAGGACTTGTTCTGCGAAGGAAGTGCCGCTGGCCCCAGCACCAGGACTTTGAGCTGGGTGGCCCCTCCCTGTGCACACAGGCCCGCCCACAGGCTGAGGGGAGCCCCAGAGCACCCACTCCTCCTTGCTGTGCCTGACGGGTGCCTCGTCCAGCACACTTCTGCAGACAGCGCAAAGGGACATGTCCCGGCCTCACCCACAAGCTGGAGGCTGGGCTCAGGGTCGGAGGGTGGCTCTGAAGACAGTCCTTAGAGCTCTCCTGAGGAGACTACAGGACTCCTGGCCTGGGAGGCAGCAGGGAAGCAGGAGAGAGCAGCTCTGAGCTGTGGTCTGCAGGCCCTGGGTTAAAAGTGCCACCAGACCTAAGCGAAGCCACTCAGAGAGCTGAGCCTCCTAAGGGGCAGAGCAGTCCTATTCCTGTTGCTAGGGCTTCCAGGAAGCCCAAAGACATGCAGTGTGCTAGGAGCTGGCCCTTGAGATCAGCCACTGGGTCCCAGCAGGCCAGTGCTGGCTCCCTCCCGTGCCATGGCCCTCGGGGACTGCTGGGCACACTGCTCTGTGGCCGCGGGAGGTCATGTGGGAGAACTAGGGGCATGAATGGTCACAGGATCTCAAGGCCTGCCTGTTGGTGACCCTGGGTCCTTGAAGCCGAGGGTCAGAGCCTCTGTCTCTGGCTGCTGCCTCAGGGCAGGGGCCTGGGACAGCCCATTGCAGGCCAGGTGGTCCTCCCAGGAGACTGTGGGGCCGAGAAGGCAAAGCTGCCTTGCATTTGCCTGGTGCCTACTGAGCCCCAAGTCCGTCCCTGCCCTGAACAGGCTGCTCGCGAGGCCCTGCCCGTCAGAATGCACACAGAGTCCTGTGAGGTTTGGGGTGTGGGCTGCAATTAAGAGCCATCTTTTTGGGGGTCCCATAGGGAGTTCCCTACAGACAGGACCTGAAGCCCAGCCCCAGGACACCAGCCCACCCTGCCGGGGCTTGGGAATGTTTGAGCCCAAGTTCCTGTTAAAGACTACCACCTTGCTCCTACCTATGACCCCTGGTCACCGTGGTCCCGGGCGCTTCCCTGAAAAGGGGCATCCCCAGCCTGCAGTGTGAAGGATCAATGCGAGGGCCTGAGCCCGAGGGTGTGGACAGTAAACTGTTTATTACTGTGTGGACACAGACACCGTGGTGCATGACAGACAGTTTCAACACCATGAGCGCTGGGGACAGAGCTGCGCCTGGACAGCTCTGCGGTGTGCAGTGGCGCCACGCCGGGCCGGCGGTCACTGCCAGCTGAGGCGCTAACAGCGTCACCTGGGAGAAAACCTGGAAACCGTCTAATGAAGCAGGTGACTTAGGGGCATCTCTCTAGAAACCCAAAGAAATGTACCTTAAATAAGCAAATATAAAACACAAAAAAGATGAGCAGACCTGGTGTTCTGTGTCAGGTAGAATCTAAAAAACCCAGGAGTTGCACTTGGTTTCCTCACTGTAACGTGTGGTCACAGCTCAGGACGTTTCACGGCAGCGCGCCCAGGCTCCTGTGTGTGCTCCGGTGCACTGGAGTCTGGGGCTGGCTGGGCTCCTGGCTGTCCTCTGTCGCCGGATGGGCTCGACGTCTCAGCACTGTGAGGCAGGCCCCTTACGTGGTGCTGATCCCGCTCAGCTCCTGCCTGATGGCTGTGGGACAGGGGGCGGCAGCTCAGGTGCAGCCAGGACCGTGCAGCCTGGCTCCTCATCAGGGCCCTGCACCCCTGGTGTGGACCTGCCTGGTATCTGCCCTGCTCCATCTCCAGGAAGCCCCACCCAGGCTATGGCACAGACCTCTGGGGTGACGACAAAAGGCTTTGGGTCTCATCTGCCATTCCTCCTGCAGTGGCCCCTGCTGTCACTGCCCTTTTAGGGGAGGACCTGGCATGGAGACAGAGGCTGATGCCCTGCCTGTGGCCTCATTGCTGCTGAGGAGTGGTGGGCACTGGAACCCTGGTGTGAGGAGCTGCTTTGTGTGGGGACGCAGGGTCTTTGTAGGCTCTGGACAGGTGGGTGTCCAGGTGCCGGGGGCCCGGGACCCCTTCCCCCAACATAGTGGAGGCCGAGGCTCTGCCCTTCCAGCTCCTGCAGGGGTCAGCAGGAAATCTTGGCCCTGGACCCCAGGGACCACCCTGGCTCTGCTCACTCCTCAGGAAAGGCGCGGCCTCTCTTGTCTTCTTGCCTCCTCCCGGCTTCCTCACCACCCCAAGCTAGTGCACCAACCCCCTGCCTCCCAAATTTGGGCCTTTCCCTCCTTCCTCTGGTATCCATCCCCTCCCGGACTCCCCCTCCTCTATGTCAGCTCAGGCCTCTCCCTGGATGGACCTTGTTGGGCCAAGAGCCAACAGCCAGGAGAAGGTGAGGGGTGGTGGGGGCAGGCATCCCCCAGCAACAGGGAGCTGCTTCTCAGGGCCCCTGGCATAGCCCATGCCTCCCCGTCCCCGGGCTCTCAGCCAGGGTGGCCTCCACCTGGGGCTGCACCACGGCAGGTGGAGAGGCTGTGGTGGGCCCTGAGTTTCTGACCCAGCTGTGCCTGGGGCCGGATGGCGCCTGGCAGTAAGGTGGTGTGACCAGTTGGCTGGGTGCCTGCCTATCGCCCAGGCTGCCTCTTTCCCCTCGTTTGTTAACTCCTTATCTCCCCAGCCCAGGCCTCTGGGGGAACTGAACAAACAGGAACTGAGTGCTCTCTGCTCAAACAAGGGTGCGCCGGCTGCAGGAGGCGGCCTGGGTCTTCGGACTCCCACCTGCCTCTTACCTCTGCCATCAGCCTCCACCCCTGTGTGCTTGTGGGACCCTTTTGCCCAGGTCACTGTGATGCCCTGGGGGCCAGACCCAGCTACACACCCAGGTGTCAGCCTTCGTCACCCTGGTTGGGGAGGCAGGTGGGGGAGCTGGCACAGGCTGTGCTGCACAGCTCTGTCCCTAGGCTGAGTCTGCCCTGCCCAGACTCCCCCTTTTCCTCTGGCTGCAGATCTGAGCCAGTGCGCTCAAAGGCTCTGGTGGAAACCAGAAGGACGGATGTGATGCATTGAGGCCCGCCCTGCTTTGGAGCCAGAGGCTGCTCCCCGCCTGCACCAGTCCAGAGCCAGGCAGACTGTGAACGAGCTCAGGCCTGGAAGGTGCTTCTGTAGTGCTTGGTCTCCCTGTACCCCCAGGAAGGCAGAGTGGTCCCCTCAGAACCCCAACACCGGTGACTGGAGGTGGCAGCATCAAGAAGGCAACATAAACTACCAGGGGGTGAAATGACAGAAGCTCAGGTGGCTTCCTCCAGACCTGGCTCTGGAACGATGCTGGGGTCTCCCCTCCATGCACTTCCCACGTGGGTCTTCCAGGAAGGTGCACAGGGTGTGGAAGGTCAGATTCAGGTGTCATACTACCAGGGAGCTATAAATTCTTAGGCAAGCCACTTAGCTTTCCTGAGCCTGTTTCCTCAAGTAGAGATTGTAAGAAGAACGAAATCTCTCACAGGGCCCAGTGCAGCATGGGCTCCAGCTCAAAACTGCAGGTCCCCAGCCTGGGTGACAGGGACCCTCGTCCTGTGGCCCTGCCTGGGGCTCCACTCACCGTCAATGATCTCTTCCTTCACCTTGTGGAGCTCTCTGACCACCTCCTCTAGGATCTCCTGTTGGGAGAGGAGCGTCCAGGTGAAGGGACAGGCAGTGGAGACAGAAAAGCCGGCCTGGGCTGGGCTATGTCCACAGGGTTCGGGGCCTCCTGGGCCTCTCCAGAGTTGCATGTCACCCTCATCTCCTCGTGGTCCCCTTCCCACGCTGAGGGGGGACGGTGTGGGAGGCCTGGGAAAATCCTGCCACCACCTCCCTCAGGTAGACACCACTGAAACTAAGGGCTGCCTCGGGGCAGAAAGCCCCAGAGGCAGGCCTGAGGGAGGTGCCCAGAAAGGTTGAGGGACATCCTAATTCTGGTGATGGCAGGGGCTGGGGACGAAGGACAGGCTTGGGCACCCCCTCTCCTCCATGGCTGTTCCTTGACTGGCCTTTTGGCAGCCACATGTGGGCCCCCAGGGCCTGCCTGGCCGTGCTGGTCAGAGACGGTCCCCAGCCTACTGGCTGCCCTTGGCCTCTGAGGGAAGGGCATAGGGCACGCTCACCTGCTTCATCCGGTCCAAGTCGAAGGCATCCAGGGCCATGTCATTCGCGCTCCCAGCAGGCTTCATCCTGGGAAAGGGCGGGTGCGGTAAGTGGGAGCAGGGCCTGTGGGTGCCCTGGCTGGAGATGGGTGTGGGGGAAAGCTGGCTGTGCAGAGGCCGCGCTCAGGCCGGGCCCACCTGCTCCCCTCGCTCCACAGAGGCTGCTTGCTTCGGACTCTGGCCACCTCAGACCCAGTCTCTACCTGGAAAGGTCTCCATGGATACTGTGACCATATTTCCCAACCCGAGAGCCAAGGCTGGCTGGGGTCAACAAAGAAACTGCTTTCTGATCAGAGAGCTCTTACACAGAGGTGGCAACTTAAGCGACATCGCACCCACCCGCTGCCTCCCTGGAAAGAAAAACAGTATCGACAGCCTCCTCCTCAGGCTGGGAGCTCATGCTCCAGGTTGAGCTGGGACTCGGGGAAGCAGCAGCGGCGGCAGGAGGTACAATGTGAAGTTGCAGAGTTGACACCAGCCTAGAGGCGCGCTCCTGACACACATCAGCACCCCCGGTGCTGGAGCCGGCGCGCGATCTCGGCTCACTGCAACCTCTGCCTCCCAAGTTCAAGCGATTCTCCTGCCTCAGCCTCCCAAGTAGCTGGGATTACAGGCATGTGCCACCAAGCCCAGCTAACTTTTGTATTTTTAGTAGAGACGGGGTTTCACCATGTTGGCCAAGCTGGTCTCGAACTCCTGACCTCACGTGATCCACCCACCTGGGCCTCCCAAAGTGCTGGGATTATGGGCGTGAGCCACTGCACCTGGCTGGTTTTGCTCTTTTGAGGTAGTTTGCATGGACCACTTCTTTGAAAAGTTTCTGAACTAAGGTAACTGATTCGAATTTTATTTTGATATATCTGAGACAGGGTCTCACTGTATCACCCAGGATGGAGTGTAGAGGCATATCATGCCTCACTGCAGCCTCAACCTCCCAGGCTCAAGTGATCCTCCCACCTTAGTCTCCCAAGTAGCTGGGACTACAGACATGTGCCCTACTTTTTAAAAATTTTATTTGTAGAGATGGGGTCTCACTGTGTTGCCCAGGCTGGTCTCGAAGTCCTGGGCTCAAGTGATCCTCCTGCCTCGGCCTCCCAAACTGCTGGGATGACAGGCACGAGCGCCGTGCCGGCCTGATTTGAATGTTAATGTGTCACATATGCATCTTCCCTGGAAGATCTTGGCAAAATGCTTGTCTATCTGGTCTTTTCAATGTGACTTGGTGCTGCAAGACACACTGCTGGGACCCAAGTTCCCTCCCAGATGGACAGGATGGAGGCTGGAGCCCATGGTTTCAGGGAAACGTATGTGGCATGAGCCCCTGGGTGTGACCACGGGCACATTTATCTGGCAGGGCCAGCCTTGGCTGCTGAGGGGTCACGGGCACAGATGAGGACCATCTGGTGACTCTGAGGACCACTGTTGCCCACAGCCAGGGAGAATAAGGATGAAGAATGCGTGTTCCCACACCCTCCAGATGAGCTCAAGAAAGAGTTGGCCAAACCTAGCCCTAAACAGGTCTGTAATTCTGGGTCCTGAGAGTCAAATGCATCCAGCCAGAGGCCCCTGGGTCCTTCAGGCCTCTCCTGTGGGTTCCAGACTCTATTCCAGCAACAACTGCTGGGACACCTGGGCCGACTGCTCCACCTCGCCAGGCCCGGGCCCTCTCCATCTGCAGCCCTGATAGCCACCCAGTGAGAAACACAGCAGGCTTCCTAAGCAATGCAACACACCAGAGGGGTGGTGGCACACACTCCCCTTGGAGCCATCTGGAAATTAGAGAACAGATTTGTCTCAGAGCTGAAAAGAGACCTATTCCAAGCACGAATGGCCTTGACAATGTTCCTGCCCAGAGAGCGACCCTTGGCCACTCACAACATGGCAGCCTGCCTTTGCTGCCCCAGCAGGACATGGCGGGGTCCACTGGGAGCGCTGCAGGCTCCCCCTGCTGCTGTATCTGCTCCAGGGCCCTCGCTTTGCCCACTCTGGTTGCCTTCCCCTCCCCAGCCATCATCATGGCACCCTGTGCCTCAAGCTCCCTGACGGCCCTGCACATGAATACAATGTAAACTTCTAACTCCTTGCTCCCTCACACCCTGCACATGAATACAATGTAAACTTCTAACTCCGGGCTCCCTCACACCCTCTTCCTCAGCCTTCCCGTTCCCCCGCCCCATGGCCTGCTGTCTACTCCGAGGTGTGGGAGAGCTCGTGGGTGGCTGCAGGCCCAGGGCCCTGGCACTTACCCTTCCTTCTGCTTGGAAGGCTGTCCCCATGATCTCCGTACAGCAGACTCCTCCTCGTCCGGGTCAACGAAAATGCCAGCTCCCGGCAGAGGCCTTCCCCACCCCACTCCCCAAAGCACCCTGTCCCTTCCACCATGTGGCCCCGCGCCCTCTCCAGAGCACCCCTCAGGACCACAGTGGCCTTGATCACGCGGTGCTCTTTGCAGGCAGGGACTGTCCCCAGCACACGGCCCGGCTGACCATAAGCCTTCGACAAACCCCAGCTGACCGCTAAGACCGCCTCATCTCTGTCCACCTGCACTGGTCTTGGCATTGCTGCCAGGGCCAGGCCAGGCTCTGCTCTGCTCACCACCTGTTTAGCTCTGCAAGGCCAGTTTCAATGCCTCCTGCTCTGTGACAAGGCTGGTTTCCCTTCAACTTGTGGTGGCAAGGAGACATTCTTGATGCAGGTTCTAGAGGCCTTCAAATTCAGGGCACATGTGCCTCCAGATACTATGTGGCTGGCTGCCTCTGCCTTTTTGGGCAACCTCAGTTCCAAATGTTCTATCATGTTGTCATGCCAGCTTTTGACTCGGGAAATATGGTCAGCATGTCTGTGGGGAAACTGGCTCTGTGTGCTGGACGCAGAGGAAGGGTTCTGGGCTGGAGGAAAGGGGTGGGGCTCAGGGCCAGAGATAGGACTAGTTGAACTGCAGTGTGCGGCCCTGGCTAGTGACCACACTCCATGTCCAGCTGTTGTTTGCACAGCTGTCCCCACCACTGCCCTGTGCAGTAGGGGTTAACACACCTCACTTTGGGGGGGGGGAAGAGAGGCTTGCAGAGGTCCCCTAACTTGCCCACTGTCACACGTAGTGAGTCCAGAGCTGGGACTCCAGGTTGGCCCCCTGCACTACCTCTGTGGACAGGTCACTGCCCTCCTTGGTCACTGCCCTCAGAGGGAGGAGGAGGAGCTGTCAGGACCCCGAGGTCCTGGGTCTGAAAGAACGGATCACCTTCCCATAGCAAGCTGTTAAATGCCAGGACGTGAGACAAGGTGCAAGGGTGTTAGTCACAGGATGGGGGACAGAGGAGCCCCAAACCCTGGGGAACATGTGAGCAGGAGGGTTGTTCGGTACCTAGAGTGAGGCTGCGACTGAAGGGGGCTCTTAGCTTCGGGGCTCTTTGCCACAGACGGGGTTCTACGGCAATGGAATGAAACAGACATGTGAATCGGCGCCAGCGCCCACCTCTGCCCCACCAGCCTCACCACTCAGGCCTTCCCGGGGCAGCTCACCTGGACAGAATCGAGGGCACAGGTTTCTCCACCGAGTTGCTCCGCTCCCAGGGCTTCCGGCCAGTCTCTGTTAATTCATTTCGTGGATGAAGAACCTCACAGCTGAGAGGACTCAGTAGCCACCCCAATCCCCTAAACATCCCAACAGGAAGCCCTCACCCATGCCGAGGGTGCAGAGCCCCGTGGCACGAAGGTCTGATTTGAGTCAAGCCAAAACCTGGCTCCTTATTCTCAGTCCCCCATGGCCTAGGTCAGATTGACCCTGACCTGTCACCTGGTTCTGAGCCCTTCACTGTGCCAGGTCTCTCTGGAACGTGAGCCTGCTGGTAAGGGACCCAGTGACTGGAGCCACAGGGTGAGCAAGCAGGACCTCCCCGGACATCCCAGTACAGCCTTGCTCCCACATGTGGTGCGGCGGCCAGGCCCCTTAGCCTGGCACCTGCTACTGAGGGGCTCCTTAGTCTGCCCCCAATGCTGCGCCTGGCTCTGTCCCATGCTGGCTGGCTTGTCTTTTCTTTTTTAAGGTAAGTGGTATTGGTTTATATTTTGTTCTACTCCAAAAGATTTGTTGCATTTGTTGCATTAAAAAGATTTGTTGACTTTGCAGGATGAGCAGAGGCAGAAGACAAAATCTCTAGGGGTAGTGGGGCAGCTGCCTGGCCCTGAGCTGAGCCTTGGCACCCTGCAGACCAACTGTGGGATTGAGGCAGTTTTCCATAAAGCCACCTTCTGGGACAAGTGCTGGGCCTGCAGGCACTAGACCTGGGGCTACAGACATGTCCCAGGTGTGTGGCCTTGAGCAAACCACTTTCCACACAGATGGGAACCAGGGGGCCCACTCACTGGACTGTTGGAAGAAGCAAACGGGGCAGGGCATTGATCATGTTCATCAACCAGAAGAGGCAGACCAACATGCCAGGCAAAGTCTTAGGAGGAGAGGACATGGGGTACAGTCTCACAGGGAGGCGACACCCAACCCGAGCATGCCCGAGAGACACATACGAACAGCTGGCAAGAGCCTCCTCTGCCCAGCTAGGGCAGCCTGACGCCCTGCCTCTCCTCGCTATGCTCACGAGCACAGGCCTGGCACAGAGCAGGTGCTGCAAAAATGGTTGTCGAATGAACAACCCTGGGGTCTTCCTCCCACTTCGAAGCCTCATCATACTCTCCTAACTACCTCCCATCTGCCACAGCTTAGACAGAGAGAAACCTGAGCCAGGGAACGGCTGCGTTTCGGGTGGAGCAGGATCTACTACCATCTCTGTAATGTCAGTCATCAGCTGGTGTTTCACCGGGAGACATGAGTCCTGACACTGACACTGCTTAAGAGCACTGGCCCCGGCCAGCCTCAGGAGCCCTGGACACAAACTCCCACCCTGGGTAGATGCTGTCAGGCAAGTGCCTTCCCTCATGCGGGACTCAGGGTCCTGGTGGGAAGGTGACGTGCAGGTCACCCTGGGGCCCTCACAGTGGGTCTGCTCTAGGACTTTCTGTGCTCCCGCACGGGCTCCTGGGGGAGGCTCTGGAGGACCCTTAAGAAGTGGGCCTCCCAGCGGCCTGGCCCGCTGCTCAGGCATACTAAAGAGGTTGGATCGGAGGGTCCTCTCAGAAGGGTTCCCCCCTCCCACTCTGAGACCTCATGCCTCAGTGGGGTCAGCGGGGGGCGCCCTCTCACCTGAGGAGTTAGGTGGCTGGCTGGCTGCTCGGGTCCCCGGAGAGGGGGAGGTACTAGGATCTTCCTAAAATGGAGAAGAAGGAAGTCTGTTTAGGAAGGCCACCTGGGGCTAGGACAGGACATCACTGGACACTTCATAAAACCTCAGTTTTCCAAATGTCCCCAATGAACACACATGACTTTTATAATTAGCAAAACATTAAATATTTAACAGTGAAAACTCAAAATCTCAGTGGGTAGTGAATTGAGCCAGTGGACAAACCTGGGGAAGGGAAGGCTGCAGGGAGCTACAGGTTCTCTGCAGGGTGATGCAGAACTTCCTTCTGCCCCTCAACACCCCCAAGCCCTGAGCCCGCCGTGGGCTGGATGCCTCCCGTGTGTCATCTCGCTGACTTCTCATGAGCACCCCGTGGAGTGGCCTGCTCCCCGTGCAGCACACACACCTGCCCGTGTAATAGGTCTGTGGCAATGCTCGAATAGTGGACGTGTTCACCCAGCAGTGGAACACCTAACACTCATCACGCACGGCACGTGCGTCAGGACGATTTTTCAGTATCAAGTACGCGCCACTGATTAAGTATTAAGAGTAACCCTTCCACTTGATGGAGCAGGATGCACAGCATTCAAGCTGCTGACAGGCGGCCTCCCAACCTGACGTGTCATTCCGCTCCGAAGCAAAGAACCTCTGTCACCGTGGCAGAGGTCTTTGCTTTGTCTCCTCTGCTCACTCCGTCCCCACATGAGGAGAGGCCTGGCACCTATCAGGAACACCCTGCGTATCTGTGTGGTGAATGAATAAGTCCTGGGGGGCTCTGGTCGAGAGGCAAAAGCAGGTGCCAGGCGGCAGGTGTTGGGATGAGGTCCTTAGGCCTCCTCATTTTAAAGACAGCTGAATAACAGATTATGTCAATCAACACACACGTGTGGGGGCCACGATGAAAGCTATATAGGGTGACATCAGAGTCACTAAAAAATCATCTTTTCTCGTATGTTTTTTTTTAAACCCTCCCTGCCTAAAAGGGAAGTTATGCTTCGACTCCAGGCTGGGAAAGAGGTGGCCGCAGCACTCCCCGGCCCTGGGCACAGAGGCTCGCATCCCTCCTCTGGCAGTCGCAGTCTGTGAGGCAGCCGTGCCTGGCGTGCCTGGGTGCAGGTTTTCAGGTGGTAGAACTGGTCCTCGGAGCAGTAACTCCATTGGCCCATGGCCAGCTCTGCCATGGCAAAGTGCCCGCCCAAGTCACCAGACTCCACGTTTGGGGCTCTTTTCGTCTTTCAGAGAAGCCTTCTTTCTTCTCTGTTAATGATAAACGTAGTGCATGTTCACTGCAGAGAATTGGTGAAATACCAGGAAGCATAAACAAGAAAATGAGCGCCGGCCATCAGCCTCTCTCCCTCCCACTGTACTTGTTTGGTGTGTGGATCTTCTGAAGGCCCTGCTCTCTTTAGAGGCTAGTCCCGGGTGTGAGAAGGGACCATGGCAAACAAGAACCAGCTGTAGCCAGGGGCCTATCAACAAGATAGAAAAGACAGGGGTCTGAGGAAGAGAGTGCCATCCTTGGGGTTGAAGGTTTCAAGAATGTTCCTCTTCTAGAAGCCCCTGGGCTTTGAAATCCATTCTTAGAGCTCGAGGAGTGAGTTTCAGTTTTCAGGGGCTGGGACTGCAACATACTGGCACCTGATTAAGAAAGGCCAACAATGTCTTCAGAGCCCCAGGCCTGTGGCTGGAACCAGGCCACAGTATTTTGATGTCTGTGATTATCCTGTGGCCTGCAATTTCAGAAATTAATGGCAAATCAGTTGGCTAAACTCCATAGCATGTGCAAGGTACGGGAATGGTGGACGTGAGAGAAGCCCAGGCCTGGTCCTCCAAGGGCCTAAGATCTGGCAGGAGACAGTGAGTCTGCACAAGCAATCGTGCCTGTGCTGAGGGCCCGGGGAGAAGACCAGGGCTGGGATCAAGTAGTGAAGAGCTTGTGAGGCCTGGGGGTCGGGAGGCTGTTTTTTGTTGCTGTTGTTTTGTTTTGTTTTTGAGACGGAGTCTTACTCTTGTTGCCCAGGCTGGAGTGCAATGGTGCGATCTCCGCTCACTGCAACCTCTGCCTCCCAGGTTCAAGCAATTCTGCTGCCTCAGTCTCCCGAGTAGCTGGGATTACAGGCATGCGCCACCACACCCAGCTAATTTTGTATTTTTAGTAGAGATGGCGTTTCACTATGTTGGCCAGGCTGGTCTCAAACTCCTGATCTCAGGTGATCCATCTGCCTCAGCCTCCCAAAGTGCTGGGATTATAGGTGTGAAGTGTTGCGCCGGCCGGGAGGCTGTTTTTTAAGGAGTAAGGTTTATGCAGAGAAGTGCAGGCTACATGGGAGCTGGCTGGTGGGGCAAAGAGACCCTTATGTGCCCAGGACGGGGCTGAGAGGTGTGGATCAGCTGGGAGGGCTATAGCCTCAGGGTAACACCAGCATGACCCTGACTACTGGGAGGACAGGGCAGGAAGCCTACTCTGGTCCCTGGCAGTTGTATTTCCTCTCTCATTCTGCACTGAGGTGGAACCTTTAAGGCATTTGTAGTTAAGGCTAAACTTAGCCCTGTCAGTGGCAGTCTTTTTATAGGAAAAGCTTCACACAGAGGAAAAGAGAATTAGCTGCCCTAAGTGGAAGCAGATGTTGGGAGTTCTGGCAGCCAGGCTGGCTCTGGGCTGCCTGCTAAGGACAAGAGCTAGGGGTCCAGGGCTCCTTTGCCACAGCGCACCTGAAGCTCCTGCTGGAAGAGGGGTCTTTAGAAACAGAAATAATTTGAAAATAAAAACCTCTCTGGGCTTCTGGCAGACGTGCCCCACTGCAGTGTACTCTTGGAGTCCCAGTCCCGACGAGACCCTGGCTGGTCCGTGCTCCCTGGGGCTCCTGGGCAGGCAAAGTAGCCCTGCGGTGCAGTGCCAGGGCCCCAGGTTTCTCCCCTGTTGGGCTGCAGCTCCAAGGGTGGAGCAGTGTCTGGTCAGTGGTGCTCAGTGAGGGCAGGCCTGTCGCTGGGGCCAGGGTGGTGCAGGGCCAAGCGCTGCAGAGACCCTCTGCCCCTCCTGTGAATCACCTGAAGAAGCGCCCATCCCACGCAGGTCCCAAAGGCCTCGCCTGAGATCAGAGAGCCTCCCTGGCGATGCACTGATCTCAGTGGGAAGCCTGAGGGTGGGGCAGTCTGCTTGCTCACCATTTGGCTTTCATCTTCCTTCTTCTCAGCTGGCTTGTCTGACTGGGAGGCTGCTTTTCTCCTAGGCACAGAGAAGGGGAAGATACAGATCAGCTCCTCACGTTCTCACACTGTCCCAGAACTCTTCTGCTTCCTCCCTGCCAGACCCACCCCAGCACTCAGATAAACCTGTGGGGGAAAATGACGGTGTGAAGGAGGCAGCTTGTCCAGGCCCCATCTGGTGAGGAGCCAGGCCCAGGCAAATAGCCAGGCCCAGGCAAATGTCCAGGCCCTCTGTGTGCTCATGGCCTGGGACACGAAACTGGTTTAGACAGAGAGGGCGAGATGCCTCTGTGTCTGTTTAGCTCTACTGGCAGCAGCTGTAGTGTCCGAGGGGTGGAGGGGAGGCGGGCGTGCTCTGTTCCCAGGACACCGAAGACCTGGCCACATGGGACGGAGAGGCACTTCTCTGGGCTGCAGTCTGTCACACAGGTCAAGACATCCGACACTTTCACCCTAAGGCCCTCGTGTCTCGGAACTCAGTTAACCCAGCCATGCCCTCCCCAATCTAGAAAGCCACTCAGAGCCTGGAAATGCTCAGAAGAGGAGCCCTGGCATAGGTCCACATGACGCCCTCGAGTCGGTTCGCGCACCTCCCCAGTATGAATCCCCGTTTCATGTACTCTAAAACCTCACCCATATTTTTTGGCCTCAGTGGTATCTGCTGACCTCCCAGGTCTACACAGGCAGACCCTCAGTGTTCCCCAGAGATAGGCTTCTGTGGCTCTTGAACTTGAGATGAGCTGCCCGTCAAGCATGGAACTGGTCTGAGGTGTGGTGAGGGGCCGTGGCCTCTGTCTGTGGCCTGTCTGTGATGGGCCCAACTGGCTCCCCCTTCTTTAGCTCTCATCTCAGGACAGGTCTGCCCACCTCGTCCCTCAGCTCAGAAACCAGGGAACCACCCCTGACACCAGCTTTTTATAACAGTCAGCCTGGTCAGTTCTACCTCTAAATCTGGGTACCCACCTGTCTTTTTTGTCTTTACTTTTGACACCTTCCTGCATGCCCCCATCATCTCTTCCTGGACTGTCAGAGTCTCCTAACTGGCCTAGCCACGATCATTTTCACCTCACCAGCTGCCCCCCAGCAGCCAGCGTCCCATCTCCTAGAAACAGAACGCTGACCAAGCCACCCACTCGCAGGGGGTGTCGGTGGGAGGAGTGTCTGTGAAAGTGCTGCTAAACAGGGGCTTTCCGTCCACGTTTATTTCCCTCCTGTCCTCCACTACTTGGCAGAGAGACTCAACTGCATGCCCTCAGAGGCAGGAGACAACTGACATGAAAAGAAACCTGGCAAGGGCATTGTCATGGTCAGCTCCACCCAGGAGCCATCACTAAGGTGGATTTCAAAGAGCAACCTGATTGAGCCCTGCTGAGCCATGCAAAGCATGTGTGTTCTCGGGAGGGCCTTGGCTCTCCCACCAGCATCTGGCATCTCACTGGCTCCTGGCAATACTGGCCTTTTCCTGTTCTCAGACAGAAAGGTGCTTCCCCTCAGCGTGGTCTAGGACTCAGGGAGAGTATTCATATTTTCTTTTCCAAAACGATTTCTATTTCTCTGTGGCCCACCCTCCCCTCTGAGTGCTCTGAGGTGATGCCCTGCACCAGGAGGCTCCCTCTTCCAGCCGGACCTTTGGTCCATTTCCTCCACACCTAGCTCTCCAGGCACAGGGGGCGTCGGCCTTCCCAGCTTTACCTTAACTCTGCCCACTGTCCCTCTTACAGCACAGGACGTCCTCATCCTTCCGCGAGCCCTCCCGGCCTCTCCCCCGCGGAGCCCTTCGCCTCTGTGTGACCGCTGTCAGCCCCGCACACCTGGACTCACTCACAGGAAACTGCTCAGAAGCCTGCCTCCTGTCTTGACGATTTACACACGCCGAGGCCCATGCTGTGGATCCACCTTGCTGTTCCCTGACACATGCGGAGCCTCCCCTCCCTGCCATCTGTGATGCACGCAAAGAGGCCCTTGGCAGGAAACCCAGGCTGTGTCCCCGCCATGAAGTGCCACACCAGCTGCCTGCACCTGTGGGCCTCTGGCATCTGGCGTCATCCTCATGGAGCCACGGGAAGGTAATGAGAGGAACTAGGACTGCAGTGTGAAGACCCTGGGCACACACAGAGTTCTCACTTGGGTCAGCCAATTGGAAGGCAGCTGGGAGGGCCAGGAGAAGGCGACAAAGTGGCAGGGGGTGGAGGTTGGGTTACCAAGGGAACAGGGTCCCTGCTGCAGCTTCCTCTATTCTGGCAGGAGAGGCCTGCTCCTGTGCCGTCTGGTGCCTAGGTGAGCCACGATATTGGTAGTCCAAGGTGAGCACATTCCTGATGTCAAGTCAAATTTTAAAATAAAATCCAAGCTTTGCATCCCTTTTGAGAAAGACCTGGATGATCTCCCCACCTGCTCGGGTTTCATCTGGGGAATAGCAGAGAGCCACAATGGCAGGCTGCAGCCACACCTGCTGCAGCGAGCAGACACACATGGCCAGGTCTCAGGCCCTAGAGTCCGGCCAGGATGTGGATGGAACTGCTCTCTCTCCGTCACTCAGGGCAATGCCCTCTGGGCTCCTACCCTTCATAACTCCTCCTGAGTCCTCCATAATGAATCCTGGAGGATGCGGTGCCTTCACCACACATTCACCACAGTGTCCTCTGCAAACTCGACCACTGCAGCCACATCTTATTTCTGTTAGGATCTTAAGAGCAAGGACTGTTCTTTTTCCTGCGTTTATCTTTGAAATTGTCTCCAAATTTATCTCTGCTCAGGACAGGGCTAGTACACGATAGATGCTTCAGGAAATACTTGCTGAGCTAAAATGAAGGATTTGGAGTTTAGAGGACTCCTGTGGGCTTGCTGCTTCACACTAACCCCTTGGGAAGGGTAAACTTAAGTAACAGTTTCCCCTGCTTGGCTAAACCCAGGGAACAAAGATTCTGGGGTCAAGCAAGGATTCTCTGTGCAGCACTGGGGGCCAGGAGCTTCCCACTAGGCACAACAAGTCTCGGGAGGTGTAGAGACCTACCTCTTGGCCAGCAGTTTGTTCATTTCCTCCATGAGGCCTCCTCCGCCACCCCCACTGCTTGCCCGGTTGGCATCGGACTTTGAGGTCCCACTGGGACTGGAGCCTCCAGATGCATCTTCTGGCTGAGGAAAAAGGAGGCCACGTTTTAGATTCTGCTGCTGATGGCAGAACAGGGAGCAGCAACTACGTGAGGGGATGCAGGCGACTGTGTGCGTGTGAATCCTATGGCAGCAGCACTGCAAGGGGCCTCAGGGGCCATCTAGTCCATTATTCCCCAACCCCACAGGGGAGAAAACCAGAATCAACAGAGGGACAAGGACCAGCCCAGGTCACACAGGTCGCAGACATGCCCCAGGCCTGCGGGCTCATGGTCAGTGTCTTTGCCAAGACCAGCCATGACACATGGCGGGAGGGAGGGAGGGGAGAAGAGACTGTTCTGTGGGAAGGAAACGCAGTGTAAGCCAAAGGCCTGTATCAGAGCTATTCTTATAAGCACAGTTCCAGAACATAGGAGCAAGGGGTAGGGAAGAAATAGCCAGGTGGACCTAGTTGCCAGGATACAACTGTGTACAATGGAAAGGGCAATGGACTTAGACTCAGGAGACCCAGGCTTGAGTCCAAAATCTGCTATTTATAAACGGTGTGACTTGAGCAAATTATTCAGCTTTTGTGCTTCCACTTCCTCACCTCTAAAGCGGGACATATTTCTGGCCCCACGTATGAAGGTCAATGTGAGGCTCAATGGCTAACTAAAGCACCTCATAATTTCAAATTGCTGTCCCATGCGATTTCTTATTTGAGAAAAAGAGGCCAAGGGCCAGCTAGCTTTGGGCAGGGAGGCAGTTTGCTCAGCGTCTCGCAGACGGGGGAAGGAATACAATCGCTCTGCAGACAGCATAAGCATCCCTCGGTCCCATTCCCGCCCCGCGCACAGGAGGTCTTACCCGTTGGACTCTTCTCAGCTTGGCCCCAGCTATGGCAGCGGCCAGTCCTGACATGGAGCTCTCGTCGTGGCTGGACCCCTGGGCTCCTCCAGCTGGCAGTGGGGGTGGGGGAGGTGGGGTAGCCCCTGTGGGTGGAGGTGGGACTGGGGGTGGGGGTGGCGGTGGAGGCCCACTACATGAGATGGGGGCGCTGGCTGCAGATGAGGGATGCCCTGGTGGGAGGATGGGCCCTGAAACGCAACAGTGAGGCTCAGCCAGCTCCAGCACCCAGCTGGGGGCTAAGCCTGCTGCTCTCAGCTCAGGTTCCCCAGAGGAAGGACAGAGGGCAGGCTGTTCCTCAGAGGGATGAGGAACAGCTCCAGGCCTGCTTCATCCAGGAAGCCCCCATGGGATGAACTTGGCTCTGGTACAATTATTCCCTATTCTGGTGTCCTCAGTACTCTGGGCCCTGGCTGGACCCACAGTGTCCTCTATTTGCTTAACATTCCTTGAGCCCAGGCAATTTCCTCTTGCTCCAATCATGTTTTTCCAGGGGGAGAGGAAGCTGGCTGGTTACAGTTTGTGCCTCTTCTCTTCTCTGCTCCTTCTAAGCACCTAGCATCCCCTAGGCAGAAGCTAGTCACCAAGATCCAACTGTGACTGACACTTGGTCTTTGGAGGCCGTGGCAGGTACTGTGGGTCCCAGGGCCAACTGGGGGCGTGGGTCAGGGTGCAATGCTGAGTGCTGGGCTCCAGCATCATCCATCCAGCCCCCTCCGCCAGTGCTGCCTGAGCCTGTTTTGTGCCAGGCAATGTGCTAAGTGCTGGGTATTGTGCCGGGGAAAACCAGCCACAAGCTCTCTGCTCAGGGTGCTCACAGCCTGTGAGGAACAGTCAACGAATTGCACGGGTGAATGCAGATGGAGGACTGTGGCAAGTTGACAGGTGTTACCAAGGGCAGGCACGTGGCGCCATGTTGGCATACAAAGAGGCGCTCCAGCCTGGCCAGAAGTTCACGGAAGACTTCCTCACAGAAGTAACTGTGGGGCTGGGACATGACTGGAGAGCAGGGGTTCAGCTAGGTGACGAGGCGGAGGCAAAATGTGAGGAAGGAGGAAAAGGATGGAAAGTGCTTGAGGCACTAGAGGGAGAGAGGGCGGGCACAGGCTGTTCCGAGAGTGATGGGGAAGGCACGACATGATGACAGTGTCAGACCTGCATCAGAAATGCAGAGTGGCCGGTGCGGGGGGGGGGGGGGGGGCAGGAAACCTGCAGCAGTTAGGTGGGGGTGATGGGGTCAGTCAGCATCTCATGAGCAGGGTGCTCCTGTAACCAGTAAGGGCTCGAGTTTCTCATCAGTAAACAGGATAATAGTCACCTGCTCACTTCATAAGGTGTTTGAGAAAATGAAACAAGACAAAGAACATGAAAGCACTTGGTAAATTATCTAGTCCTTTGCCTATCAGTGAACACGACAATTTCTGGAAAACCCTTGTCCTTCTCCTTTAACGTGCTAAGCTCCACCAAACGTCCGAGACGGACGCGTGGCAGCACCTCCTGTGGGAAGTCTTCCCTGACCCAGGGTGGGCCTTCAGCACCTGCTCGCCACTTGCCACAGTGTGCGCTATGTGACACAGCAAGGGTGGGTTCGCTGTCTCCTTGACTGGACAGTGGGCTCCGAGGGCAGGAACTGCATCTGCAGTCATAGTCATGTCCCCAGCCCTTAGCATGGTGCCTGAGACATGGGAAGTGCTGGCCGAATGTCCACTCCAGGGGAGGTTGGTGGGCAGTGGCCAGACCCAGCTGAGCAGACTCCCAAGCCTCTGCTCTGCTCTCTGCTGCCCGCACCATGTGAAGTGGTGGTCACACTTTGAGGACTAGGCTCCCCATAGCTACTCACACAGTGCCCCGTGTGTCCCTGGGCCTCATCTACGTGGAGGGGCTACCGCCCGGCACCAGCATGGGAGTCAGCCCTAGGGGAGGAGGGCTCTCACCTGTGGCCGAGGTTCTTCTTTCTAGAGATTCCTGACGCTGCTGCTGGTGCTGCTCCATCACTTGTCTGAAAAGCAACCACAGCGGGGCAGTCTGACTTCTCCACACTGGAGAGCGCACACTGTGCCTGCGCTGCGCCCACAGGCCCCGGCTTCAGAGTCAGGTTTCGCCAGTGCTCCACAAGCACCACCGTGTGCCACAGCTGCCTCTACTTAACAGGATGGGGGATGTGGCTGGGTCCAGCTCCCGAAATGGGAGCACCGGCTCTCTCCTGAGTCTCAGGCACACTGAACACAGAGCTCCTCATGGAAGGCCAACGTGATTCCACTCCCCAGAGTGACCAAGCTCTTCCCTGGGCTAGATGGGCACATCTGGCTTTTGGGGGCCTGTGGCCTCAACAGACCCAGTCTCAGGAACGCCTGTTCTTAGGACCTGGCCAAGCTTCCTGGCACAGTTCTCAGGTGTGTTTTAGTTGCCAGTAGAAATGGACACAAAGGCTACACTTCTCATTTTCTTTATCACAGACCGGCCACAGCCCCGCCTTCGTCTAGGGAGCCGTTTGGTACGCTGTGGCACACTGCTACGTGCACCACAGCGGGAACTCACATCCCAGTTCCTTATGGCAGGGTGGCCTTAGGGTGCTCTTAAAGGCAAGATGAATGAGGACACTGAGCCCCAGATACATCCACAGAATCCAGGGACCGACTTCTGGAGTGGGAGGCACCTTAAGAAATCATGCAGGCCACAGACAACATCAAGAGCTCAGCTGGTGTGGCGCAAACTGAACACCTGCTATGGAAACACAGGGTTAAGGATTGCTCTGAAGGCAGCTCTGGGCTTGGTGGGAGTGCCAGAAACATCTATTTCATGGGGTTCTTGTAGGGTATATGCCTTAACTAAAACATTATGGAATGCCTGGGTGCAGTGGCTCACGCCTATAATCACAGCACTTTGGGAGGGTGAGGCGGGCGGATCAGGAGGTCAGGAGTTTGAGACCAGCCTGACCAACACGGTGAAACCCCGTCTCTACTAAAAATACAAAAATGAGCTGGGTGTGGTGGCGTGCGCCTGTAATCCCAGATACTCAGGGGGCTGAGGCAGGAGAATCTCTTGAACCCGGGAGGCAGAGGTTGCAATGAGCCAAGATCGCACCACTGCACTCCGGCCTAGGTGACAGAGCAAGACTCTGTCTCAAAAAAAAAAAAAAAAAAAGGAAAAGCCCCTTTTAGCATTAAAGTCTGAAAAGCTCCCAGCAACATCTATATTAGTGTCTCAAACTGCTGAAACCTCCGCAGTAGGAGCCACACACCTAGAAAACCATGGTAAAATGACGATGTGTGAAAAATATTCAAGTCACGTCTGAACCTATGATACTGTTTGGATGCTTCGAGTCTCTGCCTCACTAAGTCTTGTCCCTGCCCGCCTCCAATAAAGTGGCATGGGACAAGCGAGAGTCTCCCCTGCCATGTGTGTGTTCCTGCCTTGAGGCAGGTGTGTGTGTCTTTGTGTGTGATCCCATCTTGGGGCAGGTGTGTGTGTGTGTGTGTGTGTGGTCCCACCTTGGGCAGGTATGTGTGTGTGGTCCTGCCTTGGGGCAGGTGTGTGCTTGTGTGTGTGTGGTCTCGTCTTGGGGCAGGTGTGTGCTTGTGTGTGTGTGTGTGTGTCTGTGTCTGTGTCTGGTCCTGCCTTGGGGCAAGTGTATGTGTTTGTGGGTATGTCTCCTGCTGTTCACACCCTGACCGCCAGGCGGTGCTCCCATTCCCGGCCGGCCAGTGACCCCACACAGCTTGGTTTGGGCCCTGGGGTACAGAATTCAGCACTGCGGGTGTTGAAGCAGTTTCGAGAGAAATGAAGGACCCATTCAGCGGCCATCCACTCCTGTACGCTTACACCTGGCATCTGGTGGCTTACTCCTTCACACCCTTTTGTGGGTAGGGCCGGCCTTGGGTCCTGCCAGGGAGCTGCAGCTGGAGTGAGACCTGACTGCCAGTCTGGGTTCTGCCTGACTCCCTGGTTACTCTGGGCAAGTCACTTCCATTCTCTGGGCTTCAGCTGGCTCATGGGGACAACAGTAAGAAAAGCCCTGAGGGTGAGTGGATGAGACAGGCAGAGCAAAGCCAACACCATCTTCAAATCAGGAAACTGAGGCTTGGAGAGGAACTTGCCCAAGGTCATTTCTCAGTCTCAGGAAAAGGCCAGAGCAGAGGAGGTCTTGGGATAAGCCCCATGCCATTTGGTGAGGGGGGAGGTGGGGGCAGATGCCGGCTTTCCTGACTCCTGGTCCGGGACTGGACGTGAGCGCAGCCACAGAGAGTTGCGGCTTGACTCCCTATCTGACAAAGCTGAGTGAGGAAGGCCTGGGCCGGGCCCTACCTCCCTTGACACAGAAGAGGCAGAGGACCCATCGCTGAGAGGGCAGACCTAGGTTCAAGTCCTGACTCTGCCATTTCAGGGCAATGTGACCTTGGGAGGCTGCTCCATGGGGACCCACCATGACTGTAATTTCAGGACAACAGCCTTGGCCCTTCCTCTTCCCCTCATGCTAACACTTTAGAAGCTCCATGGGGTGAGAGTGTCATGGGGTGAGAGGGTTCATTCCTATGGTCCCTAGCCCCATCCCATGGAAGCGACTGCCCCCCAGGCTGAATCCCTCATGCCTGGACTGTCTCCTGCTACATTGGGGAAGAGGAAGTGAGGTGACAATGGAGAGCACTTGGGCTCTGCTGGGTCACCCTGAGAGCCGTCCTGCTGGAGGTCAGTAGCACTCTCTGTAGAATGCCAGGCTCTCACGGTCATTCCTGGTCTTGGTGTCCAGGACTAGCGGCTGCGCATTGGCCCCCTCTTTCTTCCTGGTCTGGCCTGCACCCTGCACCCTCCTGCAGCGTATGCCTCTAGGAGTCCTGGCCCTGGCTGCTGGTGCATCCTCACCCACTGAAGGCACCCCTGGCCACCCAGCCTGACCCCTGTGGGTGCTGGGTTACCTTCTCTGGATGTCCATCTCATCAGGAGAGGGGCCATTCTGCACCTGACGCTGGCTGGAGGGGCCTGTGGGCAGAGAAGCACAGAAACAGAGTGGTTAGAGGAAGAAAGGCCCCAACAAACCCACCTGGAGTGCTCTCTATCTGTGCCCACCTCCTGGCTGCAGAAGAGACATCTTTAAGAATCTTTTTAAATGCTGGCCTCACTCATACCTGTGCACCACTCACCCCACCTCACTCTCTCAATCACCCTCTCTCTCTCTCTCACTCATGGCTCTTCATTCTGAACCAATAAATGAGACCCAAACTTTCACATGGTTAAAAATTACCCCTTTCAGTTACTGACCCTGCTCACGTTCTCTCTCAAACTATCTTCTTGCTGCTTCAGCCTTCTTGCTGGCCACCATCCCCTCAACCCTTTAACACTGAATCTGGCCTCTTTACATCCCACCAGGATGTTCTAATTAAAATCACCAGGGAACTGGGGATTGCCAAATCTAACAAATCCACTTGATTCCACTTTTTTTTTTTTTTTTTTGAGACGGAGTCTCGCTCTGACGCCCAGACTGGAGTGCAGTGGCACTATCTCGGCTCATTGCAAGCTCCGCCTCCCGGGTTCACACCATTCTCCTGCCTCAGCCTCCCAAGAATCCGGGACTACAGGTGCCCGCCACCACGCCTGGCTAATTTTTTTTTTATTTTTAGTAGAGACGGGGTTTCACCGTGTTAGCTAGGATGGTCTCGATCTCCTGACCTTGTGATCCACCCGCCTCGGCCTCCCAAAGTGCTGGGATTACAGGCGTGAGCCACCATGCCCGGCTGATTCCACTTTCTGAGCAAAGGACAGACACTGACAGCTGGTGGATGTCCTGGGTGTGTCTGAGCTGAGGCCCATGCTTCTAGCCCTGGGGTGACCCCTGCTGTCTGAAAAGGGTGTCTGGAGCTGCAGGTGGGAAGCAGCCAGGCCCTGCCCTTGCTCCCCTTGTTCTGGACTGGTGCGGAACTTTCTGGCCACACCCCTGGACCCTGAAGGAGGGACCTCCTGCCGTGCAGACCTCCTGTTCAGAGGAGGCTGGAGCTGGCGTCTGTGCAGGGCTTCCTGTGCTGTGCCACAGCTAAGCTTCCGCCCCCACCTAAGAAAAAGCTGACTGTTCCTTCTCTGCCAGCTCAGGTGTCACTAGGGGACTGCAGAGTCACAGTGACTGGGGGAGGGACTCTGGGCAGGCTGCTCTCATACTTCCCTGACTAGATGGGGAAGTGGCTTTGTTTTTGCCCCAGGATGTCCCCACATCGATGATGTGGGGACACCCCTGTTCCCTCCTACTTCATAGAGGACCAAGGTCTTAGTGGTTCTTCCCTCCTTGTACTCAAGAAACAGAAGGAATGAATATGTGAATATTACAAGAGCAATGTCCAGGCACTTTTCTTAATTTAACGTTAAATCTAACTCTAATTCTCACAACCCTATAAGAAGGCTTCCGTAAGGACTTGTAACAGCTGGGAAGCCAGGCTCAGAAAGGCTAAATGGCTTGCCCAAGGTCTTATATACAGCAAGTGGCAGATGCAAACCATGTGCAAATGCCACTTTCTTTCTTAAACTCAATCAGACAGTGGTGTCAGATTGAGACCAGCTTGAAGAACGAAGGATGAAGGTGGCAGACTCATATGCTGCCAAAAGAGCTGCAAGCTGCCCTCGGATGGTGTGCAAGGTGCTGTGGACATGTGTCCCCGCCACCCGCCGACTGCCACTCATCCTGGCCGAGGCGGGAGGAATTCCTGGCATTTCTGCTCCATGTCTGGCTTGTGCCTGAGCTGCTCTGCTGTGAGTTTGGCACAGGCCTTGGGCTCTGGCTTGGACAACTGGATATCCGCCTTGTTCTAAGACCGGGTCTCAAAGGCTGAGTTCACTCCTGGATCTGGATTTTGTCCTTCTGGGGGCTGAGTCCCTGTCCCAGCGACCTGTCTAGCATTTGGTCTGAGGGTTGGCCCTGCCCTAGGATGGAGGCCTTTCCACGCTTGGGCTCCACCAGCTGCTGCAAGATCCTTCTGTGTCTGTGGCCTGGCCTTGCCCAGGTCACTGTAACTGTCTTCTACCCTTGTCAGGACCCCAGATGGCCGCCAGCTGCCCGCAGAGAGGCCTGTGTGGTTTTGTGCTTTGGATTCCCAATTTTGCCTGCTGGGCTGGCATCCTCCCAGCACCCTCCCAACCTGTTTCTCCAGAGGGTGGGGAAGTCCAACAGGAGCCCTGGCCCTTCGAGGGGGCTCTGGCCCCTGCATCTAAGACCTAATTAAAAATTGGCTGGAGTTTTAGACACGACAGAGCAGGAAAGGATAACACTTGATTGCATTGATTGCATAAAGCTTGCCATTCTTCTTAAACTAAGAAAATGTTCAATTGTTTTGAGCCATCATGGCCCTGAACATCATGAAGTACAGTCCCTTTGTTTTAGGGGTAGGAGCTAAGGCACAGGGGGTCTGTCCAATGTCACCCAGGGTAACTGTGACAGACCTGAGGTTCCCATCGCCTCCTTACTCCTGGCCTCCTCCGCCCCCAGCACAACTTCCCCGTGGCCGTCCGCGGGAGGGACAGGGACAAAGGTCATTGCTGCAGACTGCTGGTGGCCCTTGGGAAGCTCCAGGCAGCAGCCCCTTGGCAAGTGATTCTTCAGTGGGAGGAGTAGCTAAGGAAGGCTCCTGGCTGCTGGTAATCAGACTCCCTCGTGTCTAGTGGTGAGGCACTACACATGACTTCCCTGGGTGATGCACACAGAAGCCAAGGCGGAGGATGTGGCACTTGTCCCATGCTGCAGATGAGTACCTTAGAGCCATTTCTTGCCGCCCGAGCTGAGCTTGGATCCCACAGGAGCCAGGGTGATGGGGATGGTGGGGGTCCCAGCTCTTCCCTCTCTGCCTCCCACAGCTTGTTAGGTAATGGAGTCTCATTGGTGCTGTGTCAGCTGCCCCACAGAATGCCCCGCTTCTCTGCCGCCACCTGGCAGCCTTGGTGTCTCTCTCTCTTGGACCCTCACCTCCTCTCATTCTGACAGTGCGGCCTAAATGACGTCTGGAAAACACAGACATGACCTGCACTAGGTTGGGCCCAGGCTCCACTGAATAAGATTCAAGGCTTTCAGGCTAGGCCCCAGCCCACCCACCTTGTGGCTGCGCCTCCCCGACAGCCCTCCATAGCCGACCTCCTGCACCTGCACACTGGGCCTGGCCGCACTATGCTTCCCGTCTCTGTTTTGTGCACTACTCAACCCATGTGGGTCACCTTTTTCTGCCGTCTCCACCAAGCAAGGCTTCCAGGCCCAGCTTGGTGGTCACCTCTTCCATGAAGCCCTCCGCAGGTCCTCATGCTCCTTCTCACCAACCGGTGCCCATGCGCCTCTCTTGAAAACTCACAGCTTTCTCACCCATATTCTCGTAATTTGGGAGCTGCCTTCTCTTCTGTACTAGACCCTGGGCTTCTCGCAGGCAGACAGCACGTCTCACTCCACACTCCAGCCTCACAGCCTGGCTCGCATCAGACACTCGGTATATTCTACTGAACTGAGTCGGGAAAGGGAGAGGGGGCTCGAGCTCACTTACCCTGGGGGAAAGGTTCAGGTGAAGGAGTCATGCTGAACTGACCTGAGTGAAAACAAAAACCTAGGAGGTAAGCCACAGAGATACAGGGCTTAGAAGGGGTCCCCCAAGTTCATGCTTGTCCAGAGAAGAGGCAGCAGTGTAATGATGCCCTGCCAGCACCTGGTACCCTCTGTTGACCAGAGGCATTAAGGACAAATTAAAGCCACGGGGCTGCTAACCCAGCCTTTGTCGCAGGGCTGTGAGTTTCAGACGCCTTTCTGCTAGAGGACCTGTGGCTCTGCACACAGTGGCAGAACATGGAGTCACCTTCTGTGGCCATGAGGTGCGCTCCTTTGTACAGTAAATGTACAGCAGTGATGGTCTGCGGATCACATCTTAATTGTCTTGTTCCCATGAAGTACTAACCTGGGCAGGCAGTGGGCACGAGAGGACCTGGCCTGCGTCTGCCTCACACCTGCCTAGCCATGCACCCCTAGGCAGGCTACTGTGCCCTCATCTACGAAATGGGAGTCCTAATGCACTAATGCTAATAGTGGTACCTCACCAAGCTGCTGTGAGGAATAAACAAACTCTAGGAGTAAAAAGTATATGGTAAGCCATAAAGTGCTGGAAATATTTGTTTGCATTACTGTTGAAAGTACACTGTTGACCTTTCTGCTGAGTCCGACAGGAATCTGCCTGTGTGCTGGCTTAAGTGGCCCTCTGCCCCCGCGGCCTTGCTGGTGAGGTCCCCTCGGCGGAGCACCTTCTTCTCTACGGGCTGCGTGCACTCACTGCCCAGTTGGTCGCACCATGGCCCCCTGAAGTACACAGGACGAGTGGTGGTGGTGCTCAGGAGTGAGGGGACTTGCCCAAAGCCACAGGGTTTATGACGCTGGCCCCAGTATCCCAAGCTTGTAGAGTCTAGGAGCTGATCTTGCCGAGGCAGGGGCCTGGCCCATTGACTTGGGACTCCAACTAAGGAAACTCTCATCCTCTTCTCACTCATCTCAGATAAATTTTGTCGAGTCAAAATAAAGAGGATGAGACAGGAAACAAGCATGAGAAGAAATTCAAAAATTAAAAAAGGAAAAATAAAAGGACCCGTCACGCTACAGACAAATGAAAATCAGAAAGGGAAATTTTAGGTCCAACATCAAACAAGAGCAGGGTGGCTGGGCATTCCTGGTGTCATGTGGGTCCAGCCCTTGGTGGCAGGGCTCACACCTGGTAGCAGGCCAGGCCATAGGTTCCCTGGCTGACCTCTTCTCTGAACACAAAGAGCTGCAGGAGGACAGAGGCTGAGACCCAGCCAAGGCTCAAGTCCAGGCTGGCCTGCTCCAGGGCCCGCTGGACCATGATGATTCTCAGGAAGGAGGTGACCTCCTGCTGTCCTGGAGGCCCACTTTCCAGCTTCAAGTCTAACTTCCATCAAACACCCACTCCTCCCAAACACAGCAGTGACTCAGAGGAGCCCTTTCACTCTTAGGAGCCATGAGGTGGGGAGAAAACACATAAGAGGGGAGGGAAGGCTGGGCCAGACTCAGTCATGCGCCCTCCTGAAAGGGAGGGGTGGTGAGATGGGGTGAGGGGGCCAGTCACAGGGGACAGGAGCTGATAGACTCAGGGCAGTCTATATGACTGACAGGGAGTGGGGCCAGGAGGTCTGAGTCCCTTCTCACTGGGGAGAGTGAGCACTGGAAGAGGCCAGCTCCCGTCTGGTGGCATCTCTACCTGGGACGCACTGCAGGCGTTTGGCAGGTCACTCCCCTTTGTTGCTATTCTGCAAGCAGGGACATGAAGAATTGCCATGTGCCCTTCACAGGCTGCTCCGAGGAGGAGATGAGCTTATACCTGGTCTTTGTATTGTACCTTTTCAAAAGGCTTTTATAGCATCTGTCGCTGACATAAGGATTTGACAAAGGATTCCAAAGAAAGGTACTGCCATCTTCAAGAAAGCTGTCCTGGTGTAGTGGAAAGGGGTAGGGAGGGCACAGAAGAGAGGAAAAATCTGGGCACGGCCAGGCACGGTGGCTCACGCCTATAATCCCAGCACTTTGGGGGGCCGAGGAGGGCAGATCATAAGGTCAGGAGATCGAGACCATCCTGGCTAACATGGTGAAACCCCGTCTCTACTAAAAATAAAAAAAATTAGCCGGGTGTGGTGGCAGGCACCTGTAGTCCCAGTTGTTCGGGAGGCTGAGGCAGGAGAACGGTGTGAACCCAGGAGGCGGAGCTTGCAGTGAGCCGATATTGCGCCACTGCACTCCAGCCTGGGCGACAGAGCAAGACTCCGTCTCAAAAAAAAAAAAAAAAAATCTGGGCGCACATTATGGGATTCACAGAGAATGAGCCAGATGCAGGTGACACTCCTCCCCTCCCACTTCCTCATAGCCTGATAGCCTGACTGAGGTGCTGAGACTCAGGCGGGTCACAGGACAGAAGCAGGTCAGGCGTGGCCCAAGTGTAGGAGAGCACCTGCTCGAGGGACTCTGAATGTGAGTCCCTGAGTTCACCAGGATCCATGACACATGCTTGCACATACCAGGAAGGGCAGGAGGAAGAGCATGGCCGACAGAACAGCCTGACTTTAACTCCACGGACATAACTGTTTTGCTCACCTCTGTATTCCCAGTACTTACCATAGTTTTTGACCTATAGTCAATGCAATACATATTTGTTAAGTACGTGAATGACTGGCCCTGGGCAAACTGTCTGAGCATCTTCAGCCACTGGGCGAGACTAGAGTGAGTGACACAGTCTTAGAGAAAACAGCAGAAGTCTAATGGTTCATAAGCTCCCAGAGCGGGAAACAGTGGCTGAGCCGAGGACTGGGTCTCACGAGCTATCAGTGAGTGAGATACCACAGGCTACCAATGGCAGTGCCACTTAGAAAATACAATGAGTTGGGGTAAGGAAAGAACTCAAGTTTATTGAGTGTCTATTACACTATGTACTAGATCCTGTGCCAGAGACTCAGATGCCACCTTGTTTAGCCTCCCTCATCCTAGGAATCCTGCTGTGAGCTCCACTTTACCCATAAGAAAGCTGGAGAGTTGGAGAACGGAAGTAGCATCTTTGTGGCCTCTGAACAGTCAACAGTTAAGCCAGGCTTCAACCCTAAAACAGAGGACTCTAAAGCCCTCCACAGAGTCACCAAGACTGCAGGGGGATAGGACACATGGAGGAAGAAGGGTCAAGCGGGGCACAGAGGCAGGGAGAGCAAGAAGGGGAGTCCAGCCCTGGCGCGAGTGTGAGAAGCTGCAGCTTGGAGCCCCCTGGTGGAGCCCCTTCTTGGGCAGGAGTGTGGCACACTGCAGCCTCTCAGCACCCAATGGCCTTGCTGCCTCAATGCCCATCCACATGGCACCAGGAGAGGTATCCCAGGAGCTGGACAGGTTCTCAGGGCTGTACAGAGAGCCTTGGGAGCCACCTGGTCTGACCTCGAGTGTGAGGCCCTAGCCGGGGTGGGTGCTTCTCACTGGCAAAGTCTTCTTCCCAAAGGGTGAAATCTGTCTTGCCAGGACTGCCCCCAGTGGTCTGTCAGGACCACAAAGGCTGTCTCTCTGTGCTGGCCTGGCGGCCCTGGTGCGCTCCCCTCCAGGCCTCTCTTGGTCCCCGTCCTGTCTTCCAGTCCCTTCCCGCCTTGGCTGTGCTCTTCCGGACAGTTCTGGTTTGTACTAATCCCCTTCAGAGTGAACTTTGCTGGAGTTTTGCCAGTAAGTTAGGTGTGTGGGAGTCCCTCTCCTCTCTGGGCTTCCATTTTCTATAAAGTGAGAAGGGTGGAACCAAGGATCATCAGCTCCAAATTTCTACAGCTCTAAAGGACAAAGGAGGAAATATACTAAAATGTTAACAGTGGTATCTCGGGATTGTGGACTTATATTCCTCTTTTTGGATTTCCAAATCATGCACTACCTCTAAACAAATAAATGTCTAAGAGTCCCTACAGAGAATCCCTGCTCTGCGATCCATCCCCCACGAGGTGTGGCGGGTGCGGGGTAGGCAGGGAGCGGTGTGGCTCCTGTCTGAGGTAATGCATTAATTTATACAGCCAAAGGCAGGCAGACGAGGTGAGGCACTACTGACCCCTCCTCCTGACGAAGGCGTTCCTCTTGCCCACCCCTGAACATTTATGAGGCTCTGGGACACCAGCCCCCAGCTCCTCTGGGATGGAAGGGATGGGCTCAGTTTCCAGTTAGTCTCTATGGGAAAGGCATCCCCTGGGACTCCTGAAAAGATAGAACCTGAGATGCTAGGAGTGCCAGAGACAAAGGATCCAGCACTTGCTCAGTGATGCTTGATGGAATTTCTGGCCAACAAACGACAGCCACCTGGTGTGAGCTGGGCAGAGTCCCAAGTCCTTCTAAGGCCTCCTCCCTGCTCTGCCATCTTTCTGGCTGGCTCCTTTCCCTCTTTCCAGAGGGTCCCCTCATTTTACAGTGAGATTGGGCTATCCCCGGTACACGTCTCCCTCTTGTACAAGGCCCTGCTTTCCTCACAGGTGCCATTCCTATCACCAAGCGAACAAGTGTCCAAGCAAGGATGGAGTCTGTGAACTGGGCTAAGCTTGGTCTGGCCACTACCTTTACCGTCACCTGGCCAAGGCCATACAGGAATTGGTGGCAGAGCTGGGACCAGAGCCCACAACAAATGTCTCCCGGCCCAGGGCTCTGCCCACCCCAGTGCACTGATGCTCAGCCCTGGTTAATAAACAGACAGCTCTGCATTTGTCTTTGGGAAACAAAGGCAGCTAGTGTTTAACCCTATCCTCCGAGCTCAGCTCAGGAGGAGACAAATACCCGACTGTCACCTTCCCTAATCTAGTCACCCTCCCTATTCTAACACGAGCTTAGACAGCTTAGTTGCTTGCTTAAAGGAACCCAGAGTGAATTTTCCAGTCTTTCCGGCTGAGTCCTTACTACATGAATTTAGGCTCAAACAGGCTGATATGTCTTACTCAGATTACCACAGCCAATGACCCACTGAAATCCTGCAACAGACCCTCCTACCTAAGCCCTGGCCCTGGGCTTAGCAGAGACAGCTCAGCTCCATGGTGACCAACAGGTAAAGCTGTGTCT